CAGAAAATCAAAGTGTACAATGTACACTTTGCTAAAACAATTTACATTGTGACTTCTGAAACTGAAAGTGAATCTGAGCCATGACAGCTGTGTATAGTATTACATTCAAAATTATGTTTAAGTCATGGTAAATGGTGACCTCTTTCGGTCAATTCTACGATTTCTGCCTATAGTTTTCATTCGTTTTCGTGTTCGATTCGATATGTGTTTTCTTTACATAAAGAGTAACTTTAGTTCTAGTTCTTGTTCAAGTCTTTTTATTATATTCGTATCTTATTTACACCCAGGACGAGCTTTACGACGTCCGTATACGGTGAAATACGGGCCGTATACGGCCCATATTCTGCCGTATACGATGGTAAATCGCCGTATTTGGCCGTATTACATGGCTCCGTATTNCGTAAAGCGCCGTATTTCGCCGTATACGGCACGGAGATTTACGATCGTAATACGGAGCCATGTAATACGGCCAAATACGGCGATTTACCGTCGTATACGACCGTGTATGTTCGACCTGGGCAGGTATTTTTTAATTCTGTTTTAGATTTATCATTAATGAATAAAAATCAGCTAAAATTAAACGACATTTGGAAAAAGCAGGGAGCTAATGAGAATAAATTATCATCGTCAATTTCTGTATCATCATCACATGTTGAATTAAATAATGCTGCTGGTGAAATTAGTATTGTTAATAAAAAGTTATGTGATTCATCTTTTAGTGATGAAATTAATGTTATTAATCAAAATTTATCTATAAATGATTCTGGTAATGAAATTGAAGAAATATGTTCAATCCCATCTATATCATCACGTATTCAAGCTGAAGATTTTGCTGATGAAATAAGTATTGTTGATCAAAATCCATGTGTTACACGTCTTCTTAATGTTGTTAGTGGAAGTTCATTGAATTTATGTATGTGTATGTCTGCAAGTGAAATTGAAGTGTCGTATTCAATTCCATCTATATCAACACGTGTTCAAGCAGAAGATTTTGTTGGTAAAATAAATGTTGTTGATCAAAATGTATCTATTAAAGGTGATGTCAATATTTTTCATCAAAATGTTTTCTAATTCATCTATTACCGGTGATATCAATGTTGTTAATCAAAATGAAAGTAATTCATCTATTAGTTGTGACGTCAATCTTATTAATGAAAGTTTATTTAATTCATCGATATCTGTGTCCGCGGATGAAATTCAATTATCGTCAGTTCCATCTACATCTAAATCATTATCACATCTTCACGGGGGGGATCTTGCTGGTGAAGTGAATGTTGTTCATAAAAAAGTATGTAGCGAACCATGAATTTATTTATCTGATCATGCTCATAATGTATAGGACAACAATAAAACTCATAAAAATAAAGATTCAACACCTACTCGATCCAAACATCGAACTCAATATTTATCTGAATGGGAAAAACGACCTGAATCTCATTATAGAACTCATATTTTCGATGAACTTGGCCAACTCCATGAAAGATCTATTTGCTGGTTGTACATGAAAGAAAAATCGATGAGATGCCGTCTTTGCGAAAAGTATGGCAAGGCGCGTAACACCAATGGTGAGTTTAAATACAATAAAAGGATTTTTCACACAAGTTAGTTTATTACTATAATGAGGTTGGAGTTTTTTTTTCATATAATGAGTACAACGTTTTTTCTTTCAAATATAAAAGTGATTACTATCAATAGGTAAGGAAAATGTCTGGTTCACAACTGGAATGACCACGTTTTCTTTCGACAAAATAAAACATCATAAAGAGAAGAGTGAAGTTCACAAACAATCAGAACAAATGGAATTAAACACATCTTCTCATGTCCAACCTAATTGGATGGCTACACAACAACAACAACTGAATAAACATGAACAATCTATACAAAATTTAATGATAGCCTGTATATATCTTTGTCAACAAGACAATTCTATTAATATGCTTGAGCCGTTATGTGTTCTACTTGAAAAGTTGGGGGTAGAATTGTTACCAGCTGAAACATCATGTGTTTCTTATAGAAACAATAAGGCTGCATTTTGCTTTATTCAGCACATCGCTAGTTGCTTACATGAAGAGTTAGTTGAAAAAATAAAAGCAAGTCCAGTTGCTGGTATGCTAATGTTAAAACATTGATATTATTAAAATCATTTTTTTTTGTAGCGTGGATGTTAGATGAAAGTACTTCACGATGTACTGAAAAAACATGTATCATATACGTGAGATACATCGAAAATAACGAAGCTAAAACATCGTATTATGGTCTTTTGGATTTACAAGGTGATGGAACTGCTAAAAGTATCGTAAATACGTTGTTAATTTTATGGCGAAAGGATAACATAAACGGAAAAAACTCGTGTTGGTTGTCAACGGACAACGCTTCAACGTTTATTGGTGAATATAATGTCTTTTATCAAATAATCATCGGAAACATTATTGGAACTATGTTTAGGTGTAAATGAGGGCGTTATTGCTAAACTACGCAATCATCTAGGTACTGATTGTTTGGAATCTAACACTTGTGCGGCGCATTCTTTTGCACTTGTTGGTTCGCAAGCATCATATAAACCGAAAAGTCAAAGTAATTATTATTTTTTGCATTAAAAGTTATTTTATTTTGTTGTCTACTTGACATAGGCAATGAACAACCTGTTCTAGCTGATTCTGTCGTTAAACTTGAAAAAATAATTAGTAAAATTTATACTTATTTTAACAAGAGTGCCAACCGGCAGTTCAAGTTCAAATCTTGGCAGAATTTCATGGAAATTGCCGAGCTCAAGGTCAAAAGAATTTTTGAAATTCGATGGTCTTCAATACGTGATTGTATTAAACCGATAATTGCTAATATTCAACCAGGTTTTCACATGACAGATAGTTTTGAAGACAATGTTTTAAAAAATGAGTTTTATTTAGGATCACAAGCACTAATTGGATATTTAGAAGAAGCTATGCGAGATTTTAAAATATCTGTTGGTGAACGTGAACATTCAAAACAATTATTAAATTTAATATTAGATGACGAATTTCTCTTGCTAATACACATGCATTACGATCTACATGAATCTGTGCTTGGTGAGTTCGTTCAAATTGTATTTATACTATATGCGAATCAGTTTTGTTTTTTAAATCAGGACCAATTACAAAAATGATGCAAAATGATCACCTTTCGTATTTCAATCTAATGGAGATGTTGAAAGAAAAAAAAGCAATATTATGTGGTTGGACATTTGAATCGGCATCAGATACAGGTCCTGTGTTATGTGACTATCTTGAATCATCAAAAAATGGATTGTTTGGTGCATTTAAGATAACTCTCGGTGATCGTAAAAAAATTTTGTACAATTGTCGTGAACATATTAATCGATTACTTCAAGAATTAGCTCGACGATTTCCACGATCCGTTCTTCAAGAAAGTTTTTCAGTGCTCTTTGATCCAGATTATTTGGTTCAACATAAAGAACAGATTAGTTCAAATGAATATGGTCGGTCTGCACTTAATGTTCTACGCAAAAAGTATAAAAACTTTACAGATTTTGACTTTAATTCTGTTCGAAACGAATGGGAATCTTTTAAAGCTTCACTATATGATTATGTAAATAGTCTTTCAACTGATTATCCAGTTAAAGACTTCTGGAAAAGCTTTATTTTACAAAAACAGTCGATAAATAACGTTTTTTGCCGTGAGTTTAAAAACATTTTGCTTTTGCTCAACGTGTATTTAATTTCGCCGACAAATTCGACGGAATGTGAACGAGGAGTATGTTGATTTTTTTTGACAACTGTTTTTCGTATTCTCTTAATCTATATTTTTCGTATTCTGCTGTAAATCGTATACAAACTGTTGGACGATCTCGCTTGATCGTTTCAACATTAGACGTGTTAATGACGGTTCGAATGTTGCTTCAAGATGATTTACGAAGGTACGAGAAAGAAGTTGGTGTAGCTTCATACGAACATAACATTTTGAATATTTTTCTTTAGTGTTAGATGTCAACAAATAGCCAATAAAGCGTTTGAATCATGGAATGATCCAATGCACAATCGTCGTCTGAATCAAATACAAATTTTAATCGATTTACCAGATGATTATGAACCAGCAAAACAAGTTCGATCAGTTGTTAAGAGAAATTTGTCTTTATTTTGTCTGGAAATGTCACACAAGAAAACAAAAACCACAAAAGCAAAAGCAATAAAATGTAAGTCATAGTTTTATATTTGTTTAGATGATGCTGAATTTGTTTTTACAGGTGCTAATGGCTGTAAAACTGAAGTATCAGGAACTGATTCAACTCAAAACAATGCTATTCAATGTTGTCATCAAAGTGAACAATTCGAATGGATTCAACACAATGACAACTGTTCTCGTTGGCTCTGCAATGGCTGCAGAATTACGTTAAGTATTGATATTAATTCTTTATGGTTTTGTTGCGATCACGAAGACATGCGTGATGATATTGATGACGATGAAGCTGAAGAAAACGAACTGTCCTGATTATATTATATTGGAAACGATTGTAAATATTGTTTATTTTTATGTGTATTGTGTGAACTTGTATTTGTTTATTCTTTGATTTTTTGGCTAAACTTGTCATATGAAGTTGAACATTTATATTTATGAAGAGTTTGTTCAATAGTAATCAATATCTATGTGTTATTAAAGAAAAAAATGAACATTATACTTTATCTTTTAGATTTTGAAAATTGGGCTTTTGTACACTTTGATACACTTTGCTGAAAAAAGCAAAGTGTAATGTACACTTTGCTCATAAAAAGTAGAGTGTACAGCACATTTTGTTTTAGATTTCCATTGGAAACACTGATCGAAACAGCTCGTAATCCATTATAAACTTACTTGGACCTCATAATTTCAAAAATCTGGCAACGCCATCGTGTTCCCCGACCCCGATTACCTTCGGTCAACCCTTATAAAAAACTATTTTTTTCCTAAAAAAGTCTCTCTCTCCCTAAAAAAAGAAAAAAGCAAAATTTCAAAAAACTCACAACGCCATTGTATTCCCCGACCCCGATTACCATCGGTGATACCTCTCTCTACAGATATTGTTTGAGGTTAGTGAAGTTTATGCATCTGCTTTCCTATTGGACGAACGAACTTACGAACTTACGAACTTACGAACGAACACATTTAACTCGTTTTTCGTAATAACCTCCTTTCAGTAGAGGGAATATCTTAATATCAAAACTAATTCATTTAAAAAAAATCTATTTCTTTTAAAAAAGAATGACCACTAAATAACATCTATACGTCATTATTTATATCTATCACTTTATATAATATGAACATGGCATATATATTATACAACTCTTTTTACACTTAAAATATTCTATAAATCATTTATATATATATATATATATATATAGTTGTATTTCTTTGAGTCGATCATATCACTATCGAATACTTCTATATCACTAAATATCATTGCATCAGAGCTTAAGTATACGACACAAAAATGAAACGTCATTTATTATGCTGCTTTATTCCAGTCAATCAAAATTCATTCAAAACATGATATTATGTGAACATAACACTATCATGGATAAGTTTCTAACTTTCTACAATACATATAAATATAATGTTTAATTCAATTCCATTTGTATACGAGAGAAATTACCTAATATTAATTTTTCTGAAAATAAAAAATATTATTCATATCTAACAAAGCATTTTTAATACATTTTTATACTAACATTAAAAAATATTATCAGATTTTTTTCTGTTTGCGTCTTACATTCTTACATTTCTTTCCATCAAGAAAAAAGAATAAATTATTTGATATCAAAACACAATGATTGATTTACCTCAATTTGTTTTAATCAGTTAATGCTAAGAAAAAATGCAGTAAATCGAATATGAAAATTCAATCCTGATAAAACTTTTATACTAAATACAAATAATGGCATTTAATATTTTTGTCACTAAAATTACCAAATTTTATTTTCAAAAATCAAAAAAAAAATATGATATTATTGTGTTCTAGCACTCAATTATTGAGGTAGAAAGAGCACGGGGTGGTCGGGATGAGGGAGAGCAATACAGGAAAAGGAATAGTTGAAAAATACTATCGTTTGTAGAAATTACATCTAAGCAAAGCGCGCCTTCTAAAGATTGTTTACGGCAGTAAATCAACGCAACGGATAAGGATTTCGTATTAAAAACAAAGCTACTGTACTAAGCCGTGATCTCGCCCGGCAAAACCGCGGTGCAGAATTATGGAAAAGAATAATGTAGATAATCTAGGTTCGAATTGTGATGGTAAACAACATAGAGAGGTCGAGGTTTATGAGAGAGATCTTGTGGCATAAAAAAAACTGAGAAAAGTCGCGGTTTTTAATTCTGCAATTCATTTCTACTATACCGAAGCTTTTTCAAACCGCGATTAACTACGGTCCAAACACCACGATTTTGTATGAGCACACCCCGCGGTTAGTTATATTCACGGTGTGTCGAACCGCGGTTCACCAAGAGACAACCGCCATCATTACGCAAAAAACGCGGTTGACCGAGGTTTCGATTCAAAAATGTTCTCGTGCAAAGTCTAGAAAGCATTTCATTATATATCGTTCTGAGAAATGTAAAATTATTTTTCGATTACATGTCCTAGTAGAATTTAATCGATAATTAACTTTATCATGGTATGACACAAATATCTTGTTATCGTTTATCATCAAAACCCTTTTGAAATATAAGCAAACATAAAAAATGCTTGATTCGAGGTATTTACTTCAATTTTATTGAAATCGAATAATAGTGCTTTTTTGCAAATGCTTTGATCAATCCTAAATTACATTTGAATACTCTATTAGTTATTCAAGCAGCATCATATTAAATTGATACGGCATCAAACGGGCAGGGTGAAAGTGTTATTCTTGCAGGGTAAAAAAAAGTATTTAGTGAAATATTTGTTTTTTGAATTAGACATTCTTTGGATAGAATCGATAAACAATCATTTCATGTTCATGCCACCAGCAAAGATGTGAACGAAGCAGATCTTCTGCAAACTTTATTATTATAAGAAAAATTGAAACTTAATCAAATAGTATAGGACTACAGGACAAAATCTTCTAATGTATTCGTACAAAAACCAAACGTCCTTCGAACGCTTTCGTGAGGAAAAGAGTACTTCGGCCACTACTTTTCCATATCCATAAGTATTTCAGGAATATTCTTGTACGCATAAATGAAAAATGGGTGATTTTGACTGATATATTTTTTCAAGTTTTCGAGTGCTTTTCTATAAAACAAAATTGCTTTTGAGTTTTCTCCCATGTTCTTATACACCAAAGCGATGTTATTGAAGGAGGTAGTAAACAAAATATGATTAGAATCTAGAGTGTTGCGAAAGATTTCTAGAGCATTTTCATGGAACCAAAGTGCTTTTGAATAATCTCCCATTTTATTAGACACTGAACCGATGATGCTATACAAAGTGGCAAACACAGGATTGTTTGGAGGAACCAATATTTTGAATATTTCAAGCACTTTTTCGTAAAACTGAAAAGCTTTCAAGTACTCACCAGTGATATAGTATATTCCCGCAATCTTCTTATAAGAAACAGCCAAATCCAAATCAGCATGATTTGCAGAACGAACTCTTTCGAAAATTTCTGCCTCTTTCTCGTAATATGAAAGTGCTTTTGAGTATTCTCCCATGTTGTTATACACTTCACCGATGTTGTCGTAATACGTAGTGAGTGAAGGGTGATTTTGAGGAAGAGTTTCTTCGAAGATTTTTAGAGCTTTTTGATAAAACGAAAGAGCTTTCAAATATTCTCCCATATTAGTATATGCCGCACCAATGTTGTTATAAGAAATAGCCAACGAAGAGTGATTGGGAGGAAGAGTTTCCTGTTGAATTGCAAGTGCTCTCTCGTAAAAAGAAAGTGCTTTTGAGTCCTCGCCGATTCTAATATACACCGAACCGATGTTACCAAAGGAAACAGCCAACGAAGGATGACTTGGTGGAAGAATTTTTTCTCGAATTGCAAGTGCTTTTTCGTGAAAAACTTGTGCATTCGAGTACTCTCCCATTTTATTATACACCAAGCCGATGTTGTTGTAAAAAGTCGCCAACGACGGATGATTTGGAAGAAGAACGCTTTCAAAGGTTTCAACTGATTTTTGGTAAAAGGCAAGTGCTGTCGCATACTCTCCCATATCCTTATACACTGAACCAATGTTGCTGTAGGAAGTAGCGAGTAAACGACGATTCAGAGGAAGTGTTTCTTCCAGAATTTTAAATGCTTGTTTACAAAATGAAAGTGCTTCTGAATACTTTCCTATACTGCCAAGCACTGAACCGAGATTATGGAAAGAAGCAGCCAAATCAGGATGATTTGAACGAAGTGTTTCTTGTCGAATTTTAAGTGCTTTTTCGTAAAACGAAAGTGCTTTCGAATACTCTCCCATGTTTTCAAATGTGGAACCAATTTTGTCGAAGGAACTAGCCAATGACGGATGATTTGGAAGAAGAACTTTTTTAAAGATTTCAACTGCTTTTTGGTAGAAAACAAGTGCTTTCGCATAATCTCCCATGTCATTATACACCGAACCAATGTTACTGTAGGAAGTAGCGAGTGACTGATGATTCGGAGGAAGTGTTTTTTCCCGAATTTCAAGGGCATTTGTACAAAATGAAAGTGCGTTTGAATATTCTCCCATATTGCGATGCACTGAACCGATACTGTCGAAGGAACTAGCCAAATCAGGGTGATTCGGACGAAGCTTTTCTTGTCGAATTTCAAATGCTTTTTTATGAAATGAAAGTGCTTTCGAATACTCTCCCGTGCTTTGATATATCGAACCCATGTTATTATAGGAAGTAGCCAAACCTGGATGATTCTGTGGAAGCGTTTCTTGTTGAATTTCAAGTGCTTTTTCGCAAAGCGAGAGTGCTTTTGAGTACTCTCCCATTCTATTATATATCAAACCGATGTTGTTGTAGGAAGTGGCTGACAAAGGATGGTTTAAAGAAAAGGTTTTTTGTTGAATTTCAAGTGCTTTTTCGTAAAACGAACGTGCATCAGAGTAATGTCCCATATAATTATATATGGAACCAATATTGTTGTAAGCATTACTCAAGAAAGAATGGTTTGAAGGAAGCGTTTTTTCGAAGATTTCTACCGCTTTGTGGCAAAATGAAAGTGCGTTTGAGTACTCACCCATTTCACTATAAAGGAAACCGATGTTATTGTAGGAAATGCCCAAACTAGAAAGATTTTGAGGAGTAGTTTCTTCAAAGATTGCAAGTGCCTTTTTGTGAAGTTCTAGTGCTTTTGGGTATTCTCCCATGTTGGTATAGATTGAACCAATGTTGTCGAAGGAAATAGCCAGGTCTGGGTGATTCGAAGGAAGGATTTCTCGCCGAAGTTCACGTGCTTTTTCGTAAAACGAAAGTGCTTTCGGATACTCTCCCATGTTTCGATACGTCAAACCGATGTTATTATAGGAAGTAGCCAAATCTGGATTATTCTCAAGAAGTGTGCTTTCACGAATTTCACGTGCTTTTTCGTAAAACGAAAGTGCTTTCGAATATTCTCCCATGTTGTCATGCACTGAACCAAGACTGTCGTAGGAAATAGCCAACGAAGGATGATTTCGAGGAAGAAGTCTCTGTCGAATTTGGTGTGCTTTTTCATAAAATGACAGTGCTTGTCGATAGTCTCCCATCTTCATATATACTCCACCAGTATTGTTGTAGGAAGTAGCCAATGAAGAATCATTTGGAGAAAGAGTTTTCTCAAAAATTTCTAGTGCTTTTTCACAAAACGACAATGCTTTTGAGTACTGGCCCATACTCTTATACACCTTACCAATGTTGTTGTAGGACGTTGCTAAGTACAAATCATCCGAAGGAAGAGCTTTTTCGAATACTTTAAGCCCCTTTTCATAATATTCTATAGCTTCGTCATAATTGCCTTGCTGTGTTTTAATATATCCGTAATTGTTATAATAACCCGCTTTCTCAACCTCGTCAAATGTTTGCTCAATTAATGCATTGTAAAGTTCCGCTGCCTTGCCGAATTTACCTATTTTCACAAGTAACAGACATAATCGTTTCCAACCTGTTTCATCTGCAACTTCCTCGCGAATATATTCTGTAAGATTGCAAAGCTCTGGGTCATCATCAGTTGTAAGTGTAAGGTTCACTTCATAAAGGTTCTCACGCATTCTGTTGATGTCATCGATACGAAAGACGGCGTGCATGGAGAAGAGTGTTTCCTGTTCAGACTCTTTTTCAGAATACTCTTGAATGTCAGCGAATGGGACTGACTGGACAGAACGAGGTATTGTCATTTCAAAAAAAATGCCTACCATGTCAGGTAATTCTGAAGCAATCTCAGCAAAACCCATAGCAGTTATTGAATCTTTACTGGTGGATAAAAAGTTGTTGAATGATATCAGCCCATTCTTTGATTTATTCAATTTTTCAAAATCTGTTTTTGATAAACCTTGTCCTCGGTACAGTGGTAAAGGCGGTCTCGCCTGTCCTTGCTGCAATTCATTAAGTTTTTGATGGAGATCATGAATGAAAACCCCCATCTTAATAATTATGTCAGAGTTCAACTCACGAAGGCCCCGATTAAGATCATCGTAGATGAAGCCCTTTTTCACATACCAATTAATAGGACCCTCTGCAGAATAAGTACGTTCGAATTCATCAATACTTTTGTTTTTATCGCCATATTGGATCTCTTGTTCATGCCAAAATTTGATAAAATCCTTCAGAGATTTGTCATCATGTTCCATTTCAATAAGAATTTCCTTCAATATTTGAGTGTACATGAAGGATGGGGGTAATTGATTCAGATTAATTTTGGAAGTCTCCTCACTTTTCGGGAGAAAACTGATGGAAATGGAATCTTGATTAAATTGCTTCACAGCCAGTTGAAGTGCTTTGCGTATGGATTCAATTTCCGTATGCGCACATTTAATTTTGCTCCAATTCTTAGCCTCCTGTTCATGGTAGGATATGCTTTTACAATAGATGAAAATGCTACCAAGTTGAGGTAGATCGTGAATGAGGGACATTATCTGTGAGTCAATAGTACCCTTTATGACTAGAAAAGCCTTCATACCATTGAATTTGGTGACGAAGTTGATACATTCATCCCAGCTGGTGAAAATGTTGACATCGTGAACGATATTTCGAAATGGTGCCAGCGTATGTTGACAGATTTCCGTTGACTGATCGAAACTCTCATCTAACCAGATAAGTGAAACATTGTGTGTTATCCATTGCCTTAAATCAATGAAGTCAGGTGATGTTGCTATACTTGCACCGATGTCCATTGGTGAAACAATTTTCTTGAAATTTTGCTCGCTTATGATCAAGGTATTAATAAATAATTTAACATCAACTGTATATATTCTGTTAATCTAATAACTAGATACAATCGAAAATAAACCTAGATTTTCTTAATTATGCAATGAAAATAAAGTGTCGCACAAAAACCTAAATAGGCTTTCGAAATTTGCAATAAAATTTGAAACGCTGTTGAGGTTTCGTAGCATGCACGAAATTTTTTAATGTTTCGTGTGACGCATTCTCTAAGTGTGCAAATGTCGATTCATTCTGTTTAAAAATCTTATCTTCGTTAGATGTTATCTTTGTGCTTACTCATACTAGCGCTTTGTTGTGTTTATCATCCTGTTGAAGTTATACGACCAAGATGAGGGCGAGTCAAGCAACCGCTCCTATGATTTTATTCCTGCTAAAAGTCTCTTCAGAGGATTTTAATGCAGTATCTATTATTAATGATCTAAACAATGACGAAAGAGACCAGCACTGTTCTCTGAGAAATGAAGTAAATGCAGATTTATTCCTTTTCAGTATAAAAAATAAGAAAAAATGACTGACAATGCAAAGTCTCTCAAGAGACCCTGAGGGTGAGAACAGCTACCAAGACCGGTTTCGTCCTTGCTTTAGCAACTCTTCAGTTGCAAATAATCTATATGATGAGTCATTACATGTGTTGAGGAAGGTCATTATAATTGGATTGTTGTGCTTTTTCTCTTTCTTTTGTTTTTTATAAGAATTTTATTAATTATTTTCTGATTTGAATAATTAATTATTTAAGACGTTTCGGAGATATCTTCCTCCTTCTTCAGTTTTTATTTTATTTGGTGTTATGTTTTGTTTTTACTATTTACAATACGTATCTGGTATCTGGTTATTCTTTTTCTTTTTCTTTAATAGTGGACCGGAACGTCAAAACATATAAGTTTTATCGGCCAGTGTTACCATCTTGTCATTCCGTTCCACTATTAAAGAAAAAGAAAAAGAATAGCCAAATACGTATTGTAAATAGTAAAAACAAAACATAACACCAAATAAAATAAAAACTGAAGAAGGAGGAAGATATCTCCGAAACGCCTTAAATAATTAATTATTCAAATCGGAAAATAATTAATAAAATTTTTATAAAAAGAAACAAAAGGAAGCGAAAAAGCAAAAAAATTCAACTATGATGAGTCATCTATTTCTATCGACTACTATCGAAGATAGTTGATTGAAAAGTCTCGAAAGATGAATAAGAAAGACAAAGTGTTCCAACTGTGAGAATTCCATATTACAAAGGGTGTGGGTGTGGGTGGGTGTTTTTGTAGATGTTCCATTTACATCGATACTCACACTCACCCACACCCACACCGACACTCTAACTATATTCAGCTAAACAATTATAAAAAACAATATATAAAAATAAAATCTTGTTTTTCTAATCAGCTTTTAATAATTGTCCACAGTAATCTGCAACTGGATAATCATGATTAAATTGAAACGGTATACCATCATGACATAAACCATGTGAAACAGCTGATTTACCTGCCATAACTTCTAATAGCATACCAATTGTCATACGAGATGGAAAACTATGTGAACAAACACCTTTTGGACCATGACGTGACGAAAATTTATCACCAATGATAGGTGTACGCTGAAAAATAAATATTCTTTTTAATACAAAAAAAAGCTGTTAGTAGTCTGAGTCATGACTCGTTCATTTAAAAGAGCGAAAGTTGATTATTCAGCACCAAAATCAGTTTCAGAGAAAATCAATAGTTTTTTGTAAGAAGAAAATTTAAGTAATAATCTTACTTTCACACAGTAAATTTTAGCTGACATTGAACTGATGATCGGAATGTACCAAAATTGTTTATTTCAAAATTTTCTCACTAAAAATCCTTATAAAAAGAAAACTTTGTCTAGACAACGAGCTTTAAGGGAACAACTGTTGGAACACCATTCAAAAAGAAAATTGCATAATTTGAAGAAGTGACGTATTATTTTGTCATGTTTTGTTTTTCTTCTAACTACATATTTAAAACAAACTTTCAAATTTCATTTAGTAGAGCATGGGAAGGAAAATCGTTGCGGCTAAGCATAACTTTCTAAAATGAAATTTACCAGAGAAAAATGAGAACTACACATATTATCGATCTGAATGATGCAATTGTTAGAATAGAAAATTGTACTCAGAGAGGGTATGCGTGTGGGTGTAGAATTTGACTTCAGTCCACACCCACGCACACCCCATTCAGATACTCGATGTGTGCCAGGTTAAGCTATAATTTTCTAGCCAGGAACTGGAATTAAAATTACAAAATGAGTTTCATTAGGAGGGTCGAAAAGATTCACATATTTGATCAGTATTCATGTGATATGTTTTATAAGATAAAATGATCAAGAGACATTGTCGAATATGTCATTTTTCCAACATTATCTTTTTATTACATGATTAGTATTCAGAAATTCAGTTTGATCGTTTTCCTTTTGTTTTGGTCAAGAAATATTAAAACTAATGCTGAATTTCATGTGACAATAAACAGGACTTCGCTTTATAATATGTATCTTTTGCTCAAAATGTTTTCTTTATTATTCAGAAAACTACGGGTTGACGAAAAACAAAAATGTTTTTAATGAAAACGATGTACTACAAAAATTGCTTGAGATGACCTTGTCTTAAAACTTTTGGTGCTGAAAGTAATTTAATGTACAGACTTCTTTCATCAACTTAGTCTTCATATGAAATGTGCTGAATTGCGAAAAATTAAAAGTTTGTGGAGTTTCTACATCATATCAGAAATTATATGGATAAGTTAAGTTAAAGATAATTAACTGAAACTCAATCTTTATTGACTTTCTTCATTCAAGCTCGGCTTCTTTTGAAAACCTTATTTTCATCTATGGCTTAGCAAACAAAAGCGACTCAGGTTATACATAATTCTTGTAGGGTTTCTGCACATTTTAAATTTATATTAGCAATTCTCTTGTTTTTGTTCTAATAAAACTTTTTCCCCATTGTATAATTATTATGTGAATGTGCTCTCAGAAATATGACATAACAAACTTGAATTAATAAATATACTTCAGAAGGAAAAAACATTGTATAAATTCTTTGAACGATTAAATGGGAAAAATGAAATCGAGAAGTGATATTCGGGTACCATCGTTTCTCTTATAAGTATACAGATTAAATAAAAAATTAACTAAATGATATTTCATGAATAGTTTTTTAAATAATACTTAATGAAGTTTTGATAAAGCTGAACAGGGTGTGGGTGTCTGGGTATGGTTGAAGATGAAAAGAGCGGGAACCGGCAATTTAATCACGGGAAAAACCAGTACGGATAGATCAGCACGTAAAAGTTCAGCACAACGATTGATAAGCACAAGATCGATTCAGCACAGGAAGAATAAGCACTTTTATTCATCAGCACCAAAATTAAATACTAATAAATTTTAATCATAGGATTTTTTCAAATAATAAGAAAAATAAGAATAATTCGAAATTTAAAACGAAAAATTATTTCGACTTCAATTTGTAGTTGATGAACTCAACAACACATTCAACAAGATGAAATCAACTATTTTTATATTGAAAATGACTCCACTGTATTTATTTCTCTCTCTGTTGCTTTATTTTATTTATCCTGGGTGGAGAAAAGGGAATACATATATAAGAAAACCAGGGGAGATAGACTTAGATGAACATCGTCTCTGAAGTCTCACAAAAAAACATTTTGAATTATATTAACACTATTTTAGAGAAAAAAAAGGAGAAAAGTTGAAGAAAGAATTACAATTTCGATAGAGTAAAATGACTCCACTGTATTGAGTCGAAAGCTCTAGTAGAAATTCATTATTTATTTTATTATAAAAGAACTAGATAAATAACTACAAATTGAAGTCGAAATAATTTTTCGTTTTAAATTTCGAATTATTCTTATTTTTCTTATTATTTGAAAAAATCCTATGATTAAAATCTATTAGTATTTAATTTTGGTGCTGATGAATAAATGTGCTTATTCTTCCTGTGCTGAATTGATCTTGTGCTTATCAATCGTTGTGCTGAACTTTTACGTGCTGATTATTCCGTGCTGATCTATCCGTGCTGACTTTTCCTGTGCTTAACTTTCACCAATCCCTACGGACACATCATCGCTTAGTTGTTGTTCAATAAAATTCGTTCTATCAAATCTATAATAAAATTAAATCAACAATGACATTTAGTGAATGTGTTAAAAAATTAAATGATTATTTAACACGTGGAATTATAACTGCTGCTGGCAGTCGAACACGGATATACCTTCATCGAAAACATGTACGATCATGGCTTATTTATTCGATACGTTTTCGACAACGTGATAATAATAATAATAGTCAAATGGTTCCGGATCAATTCGAAGTAAGAATTATGTATAAAGCTAAAAGTATCGTCGAGATTTTGCGATGAAGGAGAAAATTTTTTCATATTCTTTAGTTTTTCCTAATGCATATATATGTTTTTAGCGTATTGTTTTTGTTCCTCGTCCTTATCATTGATCATCTCGGTACAAATCTTGAGCATATCTATGAACATTGTAAATGCGTCCTTCAACCAGTTGCTATCAATGATTGTATTGAATAATTTAGAAACTGTTCAAGTACCATTGAAAAAAACCATCGAAAAACAAATTAATCTCTATTCAAATGAACATGAAAAAGATCAAAATATTTAGTACGATAGGGATAATGATTTGGAACGGATTTTATTCAAAACAAATTATGACTATCAACAAACAACACTTTATTGTTTTCCGACGTACGATTGCTTAGCAAAATTCGGTGTTTCATTTCCATCATCGTTGATGAATCAACAGCGAGGCATTGATCGAATGCCTTTTCCTAGTTATTAATAAGCCTGTGATTTTTCTTTTTTTGGGTCACAAAAAAAACAAGAAAGGACAAGACGTTATCTATTGCTTCTATTTTATCTGTTTATATGTACGTTCTAGTACACTGAAGTCTTGATCTTTATTTCTACATTGTTATAGCACGTGTTGTGATAATAAAATAAATGAAAAATTAATCAAAACCACAATAGTTCATTATTCGAGGATTTTTAATAAAGGAGCAATCGGAACTATTATTACTGAGTTTTGGACCTTTTGTAAGGTATTCTTCACTCAGAATTCAGGGTTAAATACAAAATCAAAAGGTAGGTGTGAGTGTGTTTGATGATAACCAAGATTGCTGCATTAAAAGAGTTAAAGTTATGGAACTACGGGTGTGGATATGAGTATTGCTCTAACCAGGACCCACCATAGGTCCACAAGAAATTGAAGTTATCCTGGTCTAACTTTCCTTTATAAATATATGCGATATTTATCCCTTGGATCCCTTTTTAGATCTAAAGTGATCAAAAGGGGCTAAAAGAACTAAAGGGAGTAGAAGGACTGAAGGGGCTAATTGGAGTAATAGAGCTAAAAGGATCTAAAGGATAATGACGGTTTATATTTGTAAAGAAAAGTTAGACCAGAATAACTTTAATTTCTTATGGACTCCTCATCGAACCATAGATAAATGAAGGTCTAAAAATAGCATCAACACGTCGAAAAATGCCTTGCACTAGAAGTACTATCATGCTCTCAAACAGGAACACGAACATAATGCTCCTAGAGAATACATTATGAATTTTCATAAAGGTGGTGTTTTCAAGATCCAATTACCGTAACTAAGAGAATCTAGTGGTTCTCGAGTCATTAGTTCAGTAGGATACCGTAAAGTGCAGTATTTCTAGCTGTCTATCAGTGAATTCTCAAAAGTTCATCCCAGTTCTATTGAAACGGCACAATCAAGATCATTCAATTTGCTGAATTCATCATATATCTTGTCGGTCGAGAAGTTCTAAGAATATTATCGTGAACCGCTTGAAAAATATCAAACTCTCAAATTCTTATGGGTGTTTTTGTGAACACACTGAACGCTGATGTTACCGTCAATGACGACCTACAACCACCATTTTTCTGGAGAAGCTCGGCGGATTGAATTTAAATTATTTCTGAACATAAATGACATCGAGTTTCATTTATTATTCAACTTTGGTCCCAAAAAACTATCTCTAAAAAATCGCTGAATTTCGAAAAAGTTGCATAAACGGTTTTTTAGTCATTCTTTTGTCAACAGCAACTTATAACTAGAATATATTAGATGTTCATCACAACAAATGATGGCCTTTCGAAAGCCAGGAATTAAGCATAAGATATGTCTCGAGAAGTCGGTTCGATTTAATTGTAGCACATGGAAGTTTAAACTAGATACTGAGTATTACATAATCATGCAACAGGTGCTTTGAGAAATGTTTAATTTTCCGCAACTCCATATCAATATTGCTGAAACTTACACTTTTCACGATACATAACACACCCGTGTTTGCTGAACAAGTAATACAGATGTTTGATTATATGACATAAATTTTGTCAAATAACATTCAGCTAGTGAATTCCAACTCTCTGGTAAAAAAATACGATTAAGAAAAAAATTTTGAAAAATCTCTGAAGGGGGGTACAGTGAATTTGAAAATTTTCTTGTTCGTTTTGAATATATTTTTTCAATAAATAAGTAGATGACAGTGCGCTGATCTCTCACTAGATAGAAATTTATATCACGGAAGCTTTTCGTAAATGTCTAGAAGAATTCAAGTATACTATTCAGAGTGCATATAAAATTTTTCGGTATTTTTCAATAAGTTTCCACACAAACTTCTAGAAAAAGCTAGGGTATTTTTTTCCATAGCAACGTCGTACAGTGTGTCTACTTTAAATCCATATGAGATTGAATTCGTTAAGACTGTCACCTTGGGAGATGCAACCTAGTTATAATAAAGATTTTGATCAAAGTGCTGATCTTATTTAATTCATAGGATATATTTGAAACATTGATTTTTTTAACCGAATAAGTGCTTAGTAAGACCTTTTCCAATCAAGCTCTATGCTCCCCAATATGATCTGACTATCATATAACCGTAGGTATCAAAATCGAAAATTCTCTAATTTAATGCATGTGACACTAGTAATCCACTTTTCAAGATTACAAAGTTTTTAGCTCCTATTCTTCGGATAAGTATCTCTATTAGAGAGATAAGTAATTCATGATGTATTCTCTGGGATCATTATTTTCATGTTCCTGTTTCAGAGCATGATAGTGCTTCGGGTGCAAGGCATTTTTCGACGTGTTGGTAGTGTTTCTAGACCTTTATTTATCTATGGTTCGATACAGCTTGAAGAGCTCTGCAAGATGCAATAAAACAATTCATGGAGGATTCATAACTGGTTTTACCAAGTGAGAAAAGGTAACAAAAAATCGGTTTTTTCAGGAAACAAATTTTCATCATTTTTTATCTTTACACCGGTATAGCTTCGAACTTCAGGTACAAATATTTTTCATAATCGTAAGCACATTGTGGAGTGAATTAAGAGCTATCAAATGAAACTTGAATGAATACGATCGGTTCAACCGTTGTCATGATATTGAGAAAATACGAACAGCACTGAGGTGTTGAAAACAAGTCGGTGGCGCTTAAAAAATTTTCTGTGATGTTTCAAATAGAAAAAATTTGGATCTACATATAAAAATGAGCGCTCTTTCAACTTAGATAGGTTAAATCAAAATCAAATTTTTTTGCCGACTGACCACTATAAAAATGTTCGGTTTTCTCGTTGAACCTCTCTTAAGAGTTCTTTTATACATGGAAAATATTATTTTGCATCTTATCTGATACTTTGACGAGTATTTTTGTTTCGGCAAAAGCTAACCGCTTTCGTCATCATGCTTCTTGTATATGAGTGTGGGTAAAATGAAGACTCGCGGTCAGACTGGCACCCTCATAATTACCGAAACAGAATAAGTTGCAAACATTTTGCTGACAATCTTTTTGATTCGTTCTTTCCCACCAAAAACGTGGCCACATTGTCTGTTAACAAATCGAAAAACAAAACTATTTGGTGAATTTCTGTTTTGATTACGTTCTTTTGCGCTTTCTCATCAATTGTGCTGACGCTGTCTACTTCGACGAAGGACAGAACGGTCACTATTGATAGTTCGTCTTCATTGTATTGCTGTGAATTTCGATCCTACTCTTGGCATCCCTACTATCCAGCCAGATAAACGTTGAAAAAACGACGTTTTCACCCGTAAAAATGTGCACTTTTAACGCGTAAGAATGCCGTTACTATGGGCTTAATACTAAAAATACAGATTTTGAAGCAAAACGATTCAATTAAACGCTAATTATAATGATATCTAATGAGCGAAAGTACATTTTAATGACTGATATGAGTAGCGATGAACACTAGTAATCGCTCCGTACTAAAATTTGATCTAATTAGCGAACGTAGATTTTAATTTTAAATGTTTTTATGTCTGTGATGGGAAGGGGTAGGGAGCGGAGGTGTGCACGGGGCAAAATGTTCTGTTTTAGACCCGAGCCTATTAACGCCATAGAGTGAGTGCTAAAAATGTGAAATCGGTGCTAATCGATGAAGAAATCTCTGACCTACACGCTCGCATAATTGATTTGAGTACTGGATATTAATTCGAAAAACTACAGCTTCTACGGAGCCACGGGTCAGACCCTCATGGGACGTCTCACAAGAGGCTTGACCCGTGGCCCCGTAGAAGCTGTAATTTTTCGAATTAATATCCAGTACTCAAATCAATTATGCGGGCGTGTAGATCAGAGATTTCTTCATCGAGTAGCATCGATTTCACATTTTTAGCACTCACTCTATGGCGTTAATAGGCTCGGGTCTAAAGCAGAACATTTTGCCCCGTGCACACCTCTGGTAGGGAGCCGCAAAAACCTCGCTTTTAGACTTAAACTCACTATTTTCTTCGAAAATATGTGAATCCCACAAAATTGCGACAATTTACTCTTTCTCAGATCAGTTACTCAATGAACGTGTAGCTCTTATTGAACTTTTCTTTTTTTTGCTAAATTATTGTGATGTAAATGTAATCTTTAGAAAGATTGATAGTAAAATAAATTATTCACATTAAAAAAGAAAATATAAGCTAACTGCACTTTTCCGACTGTACCTGGAGAAAAAGAGAGTTATATACACATGATAGAACTAGATAGCTTTTTGGTCGTCCCACGGAGCTCTGGCATATACCTATTAAGTATTGAGAAATTGTTTGTTTTTGAAAAGGGTGTGGATAAGGGCTTTGTCCTTACCTGCGTTTGCACCTACACCCCGCCCTATTGTGTGCTTTTTCTAGTGATCATGAGTGTTATCGGTAGGTGACGCCCTCTATTAAATATAACTGGACGAGACGGACTACTTTATCGACGAATGGAGAAAAATATAAGATTGTCTAAAACGTAGTTCTAACTGTACATTGATACCGATCGAAATGGAGTGAACGCTTCTTTATTCGTACATATACTCAGATACTTTTCTTCGTTTGCAGATTGTTCATATAATTTTTTTTCGATATATATGGGAAAAAATCGTTGGAAAATTTACGACGATAATTTTGAAGAAAGCATGACTTTCCCACAAGGCATTCCATGGAATTTTCATGATCGAAGTCGCATTGGTGACGTGTATGTCGTCGTATTCAAAACTGATCAAATCAATCGAAAGACTGCTCACCATGCAATTTTAGTTGATGTGGCGGGATCATCATATGAAGAAAATATGGAGTGTTTTAATACACTTGACAGCGAACACGATAACTCAACAGGTTAAATTCCGTGTAGAAGATGATCCATGGTCGAAAGATTGCTTTTACGAAACCGTTCGCATTGGTCAACACACAACTACAAAATCGAATCCACAGTTTTGGGTCATTGATCTACATAACAAAGTAATAGGCAATTAATATGAATTAAATAATTGAATGATGACGATACGTTTCATCATAGGCTTATGCACTCTATTGTGGTTTTACTGATCAAATGACAAAGATTAAATTGTCGCCATCGATTAATTGCCAAACCTTCGCTCGAGCCTTACTAAATGAATTCGGTCTTGAATGGCCACATGAGTTGCCGTACGCAAGTGATGGATGCCCAGGTCGAACAGTACGGTCCGTATACGGCAGTTGACGGATACTTTACGACTATTTTACGGGCGAAAGTTTGCCGTAATATCTGGCGCAGTAATACGGACCGCATTATCATGAGAGTACGGAGCAAAAACAGCCGTAAACCATAAAAATTCAGTCCCGTTTACGGTGCCGTATTACTGCGCCAGGTATTACGGGCAAATACGGCCTATTTACTGCCGTAAATATACCATTTTGACATCATTTACCGTCGATAAACAGACCGTAAACGAGTCTGTTTTGATCAACCTTGATGTTTGCCCGTAATTATTGATATAGCAATTCAAGTAATATCCATAAAAGCATCAAAACAAAAGAAATGCGAAGAGGTTTTCCAAAAAAAAATCATAATCAGCAACAATCGTAATAAAAAATGCCATCAACAAAGAATTTGATCTGTGACTCATTGGGACTTTATTATTTTTATTTTTTCTTATTGTTGATGATGACGTTAATAAAAGTAAATCATATTGAGACTCATAATCATCTTTTCTTTGTTTACAGTGACTCGTATTCAAACTGGTAAGAGTGGTTGATAAATAAATAAATTCATTCTCATTAATGAGCAGACCTTCGAAATTTATCCAGTTAAGATAATTTGTATAATATATATTCTATTTCAATGTAAAAATCGTCATAAAAGACTTGACTTTATGACATAAGTTCCATTGAGAGAAGAAAATGGATATTACAGAATATGTTGATAACAGTTTTGAAGATTAAGGTTTTTCGTTTGATCCGATTTAAATATCTTTCTGGGTGTGAGTGTGTGGGTGCTTAGATTATCGAAATGACTGGAAAGGAACGAACACCCACACACAAATAAAATAGAATCGCTATTGTGAAAAATGTTCGATATAGGATATGCTATTTGTTTATTGGGATTATAGCTTGACGATATAAAGAAAGTAAAATTTATAAAAATCTATTCTCAGAAGCGGTTATGTATGGTCGGTGTTGGCTAAATATTCTTGATATTAGTTGACATATCAATAATTCAAGATATTTACTAGAATGTGATTTTGGTCGAAATTTTTCTCTACTTGAAACAGGTTCATGGAATTCTGTAGTAAAACCATGAAAACTCTTGATAAAAATCAACAAACAGCTGTTTCTTTATTAGTTCGAGCTGCTTGAATTCCGCGCTCGTTCTCTCTACAAATGTTAATTGATGATCTTCAAATGGGGCCAATTCAATCACCGAAGCTTTCAACTACTGTTGACATTTTTAGACAAAATCATAGGTTCACTTATTTCACAATAAAATTTAAAACCTTTAATTTTCTATTCATTTTCAAGATATCTTGACGGTATCGACGAGGATCGAATGTCTATTTATCCTGTGCGAATCTCCATGGCCATTTCACAGCTTTAACTGCATCCTTTGTCACAATGAAATCGATCCACTTATGTTACATTTCACACAAATCAATTGGTATACATTCGTGATACGATTTCTAATTGATTTTTCATTGTTAAATAAATCGGTTAGAAAAGAATTATTTTTCTTTGGCTTAAATTTAAAATAAAATTTATTTTTATTTCAAAAATAATCATTACATGAGCATTGTCCATTCGTATAGAAATGGTGAATACGATTTGCATCACTAACAATAATTTCACATTGACGAATGGCAGCTATTAATTTAGTTGCTCGATCTACGAAAGAAAAGAAAGAACAAAAAAGATAAGAAACATTCAAATAAATACTTACGACAATCACCACAAACACGAAGATTTTTCGTAACTTGAATTTTTGATGTATGGGGATTGACAACAAAATTCCATGCTATTGCAATTTTTTCACTATGTCCGCAAAGAACTGATACGATAGTTTCATCTGGATTTAATTGTCATGTAATCCAACTTGCATCAAATACATGACCATGGTCAATAAGCTCATTGGCTATTTTTTCAAGCTCCGCTTTGATTTCGTGCGATCGAGGATGAGATCGATCATGAGCTCGAAATTGCTAAAATAATCATATCATATAATTTATCTCAATTAATGTTACTCTATTTGTAAACTTACATAAACTTGTCTATTGGTGACAGTCCACGCAAGGCCAATTCTTTTCTTTGTATCTGATTGATATAATTGAGTTTTAATATCTGACGCTTTATCAATATGACCAGATGATCCATCAACATTAGCAAGAAGGACTGTAGCTGATGCTAATGAATGATTGGACTAAGAAAAAAGTTTCACCACACGATCATAAATTTGTTGTGACATGCGACTATTATTTGCATTTCGAGCACCTGGTAACAATACAACTGAAAATAAACAAGCGAGAGTAAATTGTAAAATATTTTAATAAAAAATTATTTCTGTGTCTAGTTTCTCTGCTATTTGTTGCTTTTAATTCTTAGAAATAAAACAACACATCTGATATTCACCTGACATGCAAATATAAAATGCATCTGATATGCTCGTCGCGACACAGCTTGAATCAGTAATTCGAGTCTATCGTTTGGCAAGTTTGTCATTTTTTTTCATAAAATTAAATAATTTCACTCTTTCGATTTAATTTGAGTTAATGACGTAGATGTTGGCAGGCTAGTATAGACCTGTCCTACCTTGGAGCAGCGTAGGGCATCAGGGCAGAACACAATGAGATCCACATGCTCTGGCAATGTCACACGAACGTTTTTGTTAAAAAAAAAATGATAGCGTCATTCCCTTTCAAAATTTGACCTGAACAACGGAAAAACAGAATTGTCGTTTTCAGATGTTTTTTAGCCGATCATGTTGCAGAATCTTCAGAATTTTACAAAATACGATAAAAATTAATTTCCATTTCTTTCTTCAAATGCTCGATCTATCATGTCTATTTCCGTTGTAATAACAAGGGTTGAATGCAAAATTTTTCAACAGTTGGATAAATGATAAATTATCGAAGGATAAATAGGAAGTCTAAGAAAATCGATAACATCCTATTCGAACGATAAATTGAAAAATAACTACAACAACATTACACTTTTATTTTGTCTTTATTGATGTTCTTTTATTATATGTATGTAGTTCATTCTTATTTTTTTTTGTGTAATTATGTATTTTCGAAGAGAAGTGATCGTATGTTTTAAGTTAAAGTTCTCTGATTCCTCTTGACCTTGTCTACCATTGCTTCGATTTGCAATCGAGAAGAAGCTTATTGAAGAGAATGAAAAATATGATGCTAACTGACCGTATTTTATATTGATTTAATGAAACTGAAGGACATAAATGAGTTCTAACTTTATTGCTGAGACAAATAAAATCAGTACTTAAACTTACATATAGCTACTGTGTACCATATTTCCTAATGTTATCTTTGTTAAATTTTGTTCATCGTTATATTTTATGAAAATTGCTACCTCATTCCTGTTTTAGAGGAATAATTAATTGAAGAAAAATCTATTTCAACATCAATCAAAGCAATGTTTACTCTCTCACTCTAAGTCATATTAAAATATTGAATTGAAGTCTTTTTAGTTTCTTTCAGGGCAAAGTATACTTGATAGACCAGTTTTCTCTCAGAACAAAGAAGATCAGGCTGAAAAAGTGCTCTACTGGCATCTCTCGTTAGCGATATTTATATACTTCACAACATGAACACTCAACTAAACATCAATACAGAAATAATTCAGACGAAAAGACGTACGGAAGTTTTATGTTCAGTTGACTCGGCTATACGTAGTCTCAAACAAAAAGCATAGCCTTCAAGAATACATTAGTTAATAGAAGATATATCTTCATCGTACATCGTGCAATGCTATGCCAAATGACGACAGAAAAATGCGAGACATGTCATTTTAATGTTCTATTTTCCTTTGATCGAATCGAATGATTCTTTGTTCAGGAAAAAAAAGTTTTTTCATCGTAGATTCGCTTTATTTATAAAATTTATTTTATTATACAAAACAGTCATTATAGATAAGAACGTTTCGATGGTTATTCTGAATAATATCGAGTCTAAAAATATAGAACTAAAATAAAATCGTCACCTATATTGGTATTTTTGCTTTCGAGATCATGCAGGATGAACGTTTCGATTAACGAAATAAATCATCTTTCATTTCAATTAGATATTAAATTTCAAATTAAGTGAGATTGAACTTCTCCGTATGCAGAAAGCAATTAACAAAATAGCGAAATGATCTATATTCATATTTGACTAGTGAACCTTTTTAGAAATTAAATACAAATAGGAAATATTTGATCGAAATCAAAAAACTCTTTGAAGATATTTAAAAGCGTACTCACGATACATTGGTAATGCCGGTATATGTAAACGTTCAAACTCCTCCATTAATTTTTGTGCTTCTTCGAAAAACAATGCACGACTGAGACAATCGATCTAATAAAAGAACTCATTCAACTGTAAAAGAAAGTACGCAATTTGTTTTACTATAGTGGTATATATTCTTTGCGTTTCGATTTCAATAGTTTTGAATATTGAAAGAGCTTCGTTGACAAGTCCGGAATGTGAACATGCGTTCAAAACACAAATATATGTGGCTTCATTAATCAATTCTTTGGGCATTTGATAATAAAGTTCAATCGATTGAAGGCCCATTCCATTTAAGCCATAAGAATTAACTGAAAAAAAGAGCAGTTCTTTTTTTCTAAAGGAAAATATTTGACACACACTCATTGCTGCGTATCCAATTTGATTCGGTTGAGGCATTTTTTCAAATATTTCTTTTGCTCGATTGACACATCCACTCTTTCCCTAAACTAGATTTTATAGAACGAAAAATATTAAAAAGAATTCCATTTGAATTAACCCACATATGGATGAAGGCATTATGCATTTGAGTATAACAATCGATTGAGAGAAATCGCCATCACCAATTTCTGATAAACATTTAATAATACAAGTCCAAATGATATGATCTATTTCAACGTTATTCATTTTTATTTGATTAAACAAGCTGAGTACTTTCAAACAATTATTTTCTTTGAGAAATCCATTTATCATAACTTTGTACATTGAAACTGTTTTGTTTTTAAATGTATTAAATAAATTTTCAGCATATGTTNCTATTTACGCTCCTGGTTACCGACAGTATTTAACAAGAAATCTAATTAGTACAGAAAACAAATAGTAGCACGCACGCTCATACAGATCATTATGGGGTCTTGATTAAGAAAATTGTCTCATGTTATCCACGATAATGCGTTTCCTTCATTAGATGTAGAGGCCAATTATTTTCTGAAAAAATATTTCACAAATCAATATTCCAGAATTTTTTATTGTTATTTTTCTTTCTTGTGAGGATAAATTATATTTATCATCCATTTTATTTTTATTTAAATAATCAAATATGATGTAACTGTTAACGCAACAAGTCATACAATCAATCGCGAGGTGTTGAGCTCTTTTTATACTGAAATACTTGGCACCAGATGGGAGAAAATTAAAATTCGTTTTGTGATTTAATATCTCAACTGAGTTTTGGAACAATTTTCTAAAACAGAAGACTATTATATTTTTTTTTCTTAATCCCTTTTCTATCTTCCTCTGCCTATGTGAACATGCGCGGGCATGAAAAACAAATACGAAAACAAAATGGTAGCTGAATGTTATGCTATCGGTAATTTTAAGACGACCGTTGGGAACAATAAAATCATTTTTCAGATGGTAATGGAATAGTTTTGAAAAAATTTCATAACATAAAAAATAAAAAAGGGTGTTAATGTGTGTATAGACGAAGAGAATAAGTGGAACCACACCACACCACACTCCATTCTTTTCTGTTACTCTTCGAAGAAATTTATATGAAATTTCAAAATTTTACTCGCACAGGATATTTACATTGTATTCCTTAAGGTGCAATCGAATATTTACCGAATACACGCGATGAACTTTTAAAACAATACAAAATTATTGGAAGACCATCCATAGAATTACAAGCATCCAATTCATCTGAGTATGTATTAATATAAAGTTCCCTGAGACCATTTCCAAAGCAACGAGAGAAAAAAACATTTTGAAATGATTACTAAAATATAGGAATTCTATATATTCGTATTTTATTTTTTATTCTTTGCTAGGTCAACAAAAGCAATATTAAGTTCAACTATAAGTATGGCAGCACATAGTTCTCTATTGTCGAATGACCGTTCGGGTACAACAAAAGCATTTATTCTTCATTATATATTTTCTCAATATCCTGAGTCATTACTCAATGAAATTGTGTATCGTCTAATGCACACAGATGCAGTTATAACATAAACGAAATCGAATGATATTCAACGCAAAATGACAAGTGAGGCATCGATATTTTTAGCTGATCGAACTTATCATATCAATCAACGCTACATTTATCGTTGGTATACATATATGCCAGCTATTTTTCGTCATGAAACATATTCGTGGATAAATGAAAATATTTTATCAAAGATAAATATTAATGATATTCGAGATGAAATGATAGTAACAATTGATATTGAACAACAAAATAATGTCGCTGTAGCTGCATCTTTTATTCACCCTCATGATGTCTCCAATTCACGCACAAAATCGTCATCAATGTTCTGAATGCTCAAGATCATTTATAAATCGAACAAGTCTTGTTCGTCATCGTCACCGGCAACATGAACAACATCATCAAGTGAAATCTGGTAAGACAACATTGCGTCCAGGTCCAACAACACAAAATCCACTTGGTCGTGGTCGTCATGCTACGGACACATCATCGCTTAGTTGTTGTTCAATAAAATTTGTTCTATCAAATCTATAATAAAACTAAATCAACAATGACATTTAGTGAATGTGTTAAAAAATTACATGATTATTTAACACGTAGAATTATAATTGCTGCTGGCAGTCTAACACGGATATACCTTCATCGAAAACATGTACGATCATGGCTTATTTATTCGATACGTTTTCGACAACGTGATAATAATAATAATAGTCAAATGGTTCCGGATCAATTCGAAGTAAGAATTATGTATAAAACGAAAAGTATCGTCGAGATTTTGAGATGACGGAGAAATTTTTTTCATATTCTTTAGTTTTTCCTAATGCATATATATTTTTTTAGCGTATTGCTTTTGTTCCTCGTCCTTATCATTGATCATCCCGGTACAAATCTTGAGCATATCTATGAATATTGTAAATGCGTCCTTCAACCAGTTGCTATCAATGATTGTATTGAATAATTTAGAAACTGTTCAAGTACCATTGAAAAAAACCATCGAAAAACAAACTAATCTCTATTCAGATGATGAACATGAAAAAGATCAAAATATTCAGTACGATAGGGATAATGATTCGGAACGGATTTTATTCAAAACAAATTATGATAATCAACAAACAACACTTTATTGTTTTCCAACGTACGATTGTTTAGCGAAATTCAGTGTTTCATTTCCATCATCGTTGATCAATCAACAACGAGGCACCGATCGAATGCCTTTTCCTAGTTATCAATAACCCTGTAATTTTTCTTTTGATTGGTCACACAAACAAGAAACGACGAGACGTTCTATTGCTTTTATTTCTAATTGGTATTACACGTGTTGTGATAATAAATCAATAATTATTATTTGATAGTTTTAAACAGTAGAATAAAGATTTTTTTTATCAAGAAATGATTCGAACTCTTATACTAAATTTTGGATCTTTTTTCAAACACTCATCACTTCAAATTCAGGACCAAATACGAGCTCACAAGAATAATGCTTGTGGGCTTTATGAAAAATCGCACCAATAAAGAAAATGCTTTAATATCTCAGCTATTAATACGCGTTTGAATTTCACACCGATCACCTAATTCAATATTTTGAGGATATTGAACTTGTAATGCACTGATCATCATATTAGAATTTTTATCCAATATTTTTCATCATTTTACTAAAAAAAACTCCAGAAATCTGTTTTAAATAGGAAAGAAACTCGACCGAAATCACATTCCCATAAATATTTTGAATCATTCATATGCCAACTAATGTCAAGATCATATAGTGAACTTCGATCATGCATGGTTGGATGAGGGTGGGTAATAGCCGCCCTGATTTTTTCCATTAATTTACATCTACACTCACACCCAAAGAAGATTCAGTCTGAATCAATGAAAATTACAGAATATTTTTGATGAACTAGGTTAATGACATCAGATTGTTTATCATAGGGCTTCCTCAAGCTCATTTTCTTTATATTTCTTGTTCTACAAAAAGACAGATAGCTAGCTTGACGACAATATGAATGATATTATGTGATTTCCCATAATATTACCCATTGTGAGTAGTTAAGTGAAAATCGTGATCAATCGTCTAAATTGCGGCGATTTCGACGACATGGATATGCATAAGCTACACCTAAAACATGACTTTCTTTTTAAAAACATATAAAACGCTGGCCTGCCCATGATATTGATTAAGGCATTACGTATTTATTTGTCAACAAAAACAAGATATACGCATTTATGATGAAACTTGTGTTGTTAAATTTAAGACCTCAGCTGTTCCTATTGAGCGCAAGCATCAAAAGAAAAGAGTGAACACAATTTCACCGGGAATTTTTATTTCTTTAAAAAGTTCAATAGAATCGTTTTCCATACTATTTCGTATATAACCTAAAGATAATCGATCCAATTAAATGAAATTTTACATTTCATCATAGCTGCATACATTGGTAATGTTTTTCTTTTAGTTGATACATCATCGCACTACGCTTCAACATACGGAGAAATAGAGGAAAGCAGTGTTCCTAAAACTTACTGTAGAGATGAATTAGTGATACTAATAGGTAAGAATCATTTTCAAGACGAAATAAAATGAGGCGATGAACAGTTGATCCAAGTTGAAGATCACTTATATCGGCACACGCTTTTAAAATTTCTGTATCGATATTTTTTTCCTAATGTTTATTGAAGAATTCGAGGGATTTTCTGAAATGTTTCTTGTCATTCATTAATTTCTTTGGGATAACTGAACATGCACATCGGTGTATATTTAAATAATGAATATAAAAAAAAAATGTTCTAACTGGTGTGAAGTCAATTAATAGCGATATTTAAAAAAATGATTTTTTTATGATTGAATAATAAAAATAACTAAACCCGAGGATGTGGATATGTTTAAGTGCTTGCCTTCACTTAAACCATATCAACACTCAACTACAACCACTTACACATGCAAATTTTGAATTCAATGGCTGAGGATAATAAACTACTAAGTATTCGATATGATCGATTGCATATGAAATGCCTTGGTATTTATTCTCGAATGTTTGGTCTCTGTCTGATATTGATTTTATACAGACTCGTATCATCACCCTCAAGATTTAGATTCTTTACACTTCTTTGAATGAAATGAGACCAGAGAAACGCTCGAGATAATAAATTTCTAATCTTTAAATAACTCGTCAAGGACATCTTGTTTTTAGTAGATCATGTGACACACAGTGTGAACGATACACTGTTCGAAAGAGAAAGATAATTAATTTCATACGATTCAAAAGATGAGAGACGTCTCTATTTTTTAGTAAAAAATTTTTCTTTCCGTAGTTGCTTATGTAGACGAAATAGGGGCCGATATTTGTTCCATTATGTTTGCATCATATGTTATATGTTAGTTTTACAAATTCGAACAATAGATTTTCTAAGGAATATTCTACCCAACGGAATTCGTTCGACGAGTTCAAGGGATGAACTGAAGCTTTTATGACTGAAACAAGATAAGAAAAAGAAAAAAAGCCTATTGCTCGTATTATTTACCTAACGATCTTTTCGTTCATTCTAGAAAAGACGACGCATATATTTTATCCATTCTGTCGCAAACTCAGTCGGTATACGCTATTGCGCACTTTTTATTCGAGATAAAAAATAGTTCGCTAGTCATTCTCTGTTTTTCTCTTTTCACATCACTAGAAGATACTGTGAATAGAATGATGAGCGCGTCGTCTTCTATACCCCACTATCTTTTAGAGAAAAACAACGTTAGTAATTCTACACGATACATATTTATACGATATAAAATTTGTCGGACGGCTTCGCTGTATAGAATTTTCAGTAGAAAATCAACCAAATAGAATTGACACTACAAATTCAACTTCGATTTTTTCGTATATTTTAGATATTTATCAAAAATAGTCGATTTACTATCGTCTATATTATTTACTTCATCTTCAATACAAATTAAAGAAAAACAAACGAAACAATGCGTGAAATTGTTCATATGCAAGCTGGTCAATGTGGTAATCAGATTGGTTCCAAAGTTAGTTGATCTATTTTGACTTGAATATGTTCTGATGAAATATCGATGTGTTTCTAGTTGTGACGAATTCTGATGCTACAAATGTTATTTAAGGAGATATTATTCTCTATACTTCATCGGTATATCAAGAATTATCCCTCTAATACATTTTCATATGCCTTACGTAGTACTACGCGAGATGAGAGAGAGAGAGAGAGAAGATAAAGATCTAGGAGAGTAATAAGGAGGGAAACAAGGCATATATATTGAGAATCACATATAGCTCGTGAGTGCATGAAAATAATGATATAGAGCAAGATATTCAATTGGGTTATTACACTAGTTTTGGGAAGTGATTTCGGACGAACATGGTATTGATCCTACTGGTGCGTATCATGGCGATTCAGATCTTCAACTTGAACGTATCAATGTCTACTTTAATGAAGCGGGTGGTAAGTAGAAAATTAAAGAAAAATAAAAATAAAATGCAACTATATTTTTCCTCTTTTGTTTCAGGTGGCAAATATGTACCACGCGCTATTCTTGTCGATCTTGAACCAGGCACAATGGATTCAGTACGTAGTGGTCCATTTGGGCAGTTGTTTCGTCCAGATAATTTCGTTTTTGGTAAATATAAATATATTTTGCTTACTTTTTTTCTCATTTTTTTTCTAATCAATTTAGGACAATCGGGTGCCGGTAACAATTGGGCCAAAGGTCACTATACAGAAGGTGCAGAATTGGTCGATTCAGTCTTGGACGTCGTACGAAAAGAGGCTGAATCATGTGATTGTCTTCAAGGTTTTCAACTAACACACTCGCTCGGCGGCGGTACCGGTTCGGGTTTGGGTACATTACTCATCGCAAAAATTCGAGAAGAATATCCAGATCGTAAGACAATTCTTGAAAGCGACAGTAGAATTTCAATCTTTTCTCATTTTCTTTCAGGTATCATGATGACATTCAGTGTTGTTCCATCACCGAAAGTATCCGATACTGTCGTTGAACCGTACAATGCAACATTATCAATACATCAACTCGTCGAAAATACAGATGAAACATACTGCATTGACAATGAAGCTCTGTATGATATTTGCTTTCGTACACTCAAACTTACAACACCAACGTATGGTGATCTTAATCATCTGGTTTCAGCTACAATGTCAGGTGTAACAACGTGTTTTCGTTTTCCTGGTAAATTTTACGGCTAATATTTTATTTTCTATAATTTTGATCAATTTTCTAGGTCAACTTAATGCTGATCTACGAAAACTAGCTGTTAATATGGTGCCATTTCCACGTCTACATTTTTTTATGCCAGGTTTTGCACCATTAACATCACGTGGTTCTCAACAATATCGTGCATTGACTGTGCCTGAACTTACACAACAGGTGTTCGATTCAAAAAATATGATGGCTGCATGTGATCCACGTCATGGACGATATTTAACGGTTGCCGTTATTTTTCGTGGTCGTATGTCAATGAAAGAAGTAGATGAGCAAATGTTAAATGTGCAGAAAAAAAATTCATCTTATTTTGTTGAATGGATTCCAAATAATATCAAAACAGCTGTGTGTGATATTCCTCCACGTGGACTTAAAATGTCGGCAACGTTTATCGGTAAGAATTAAAAAACAAGAACTTATTGTTTGCAGTTTTATTATGATATTCCTTTTGGTTTTATTACATTTTAGGTAATAGTACGGCAATTCAAGAATTATTCAAACGTATTTCGGAACAATTTACGGCCATGTTTCGTCGTAAAGCATTTCTTCATTGGTACACTGGTGAAGGCATGGACGAAATGGTAAACTATACATTGCCTAGTTCCTATAGTCTCATTGTTTTCGATTTCATAGGAATTTACTGAAGCCGAGTCAAATATGAATGATCTTGTCAGTGAATATCAACAATATCAAGATGCTACTGCTGAAGGTTAGTACATTTATTTTTGTATTCCATCTATATGTTAATTTTTTTCTTTTCTTGTTTTATTGCAGAAGAAGGCGAAGGTGGTGAACAGGAAGATGAAGAACACGCATAAACGGCAATCGATCTCACGAACTTTGTTTCATTTTTTCGCATGGCAATATTTGAAATTTAGACTTTTCTTTTTCACTGCTTTACTTTCTCTTTATTTTGTCGTTCGTCTTAGATACGTGATTTTAGAGTCACAAATATTCTTGTTTTAACCCTTTACTCCCTTTCTTCTTTTGGTCATTGGCATGACCATTTGTAGAACTATTGCAAATAATAAAGCAGAAATGAAATTTAAAAAAACTTTTCGAACATCTTTTCCAATGAAATTCATAAACTATCAATCGTAAAAAAAGTAATTATATGGTTTCGTTAATTGGTATTGTTTTTCGATATCATGTCGACTGCTGCTATCAATACGTGTCAAAATTTTAACAAAAGCTTTGTAAATCAGAGATAGTAAAATATATAAAGGTCATTAGAGAGTGATCAATGGTAATAACGATTCATTGGATTGTACGTGTGTATTTTATTTATCGGATGATATAAATTTATGTTCTTCATCATCGCTATAATGTTTTCAGATACAACAATATTTATTTATTGCTATATTAGTGAACTGCTTGATTGTATATTATTTATTTAAATAAATAAATAATTTTTTTCCCACTTCAATAGCTTGTCTTTGTTTAATCTGTCAATGCAAACAATCGGTACCGGGATAGACAGTGAGACGTACATCTAACCGCGCTAGCATGTAACAAGAAAAATGCTCAGTGCTCATTATGGCGCAAATATAATAGGGAGATAGAGAGACATAGCCTTTTTCTTTACGAATACCACACCCGCATTCTACTGAATTTGCATATTAGAACCGATGTATTAATTCAAAAGTTCACTTAGAACACCTAAATGAGTAAATATAGATTAAATTATGTTCGCATACATCAGAATGTATCATCATGATTTTATGTTCATTGTTTATGGATTAGCAAGTGCAGATATTTCGGCTGCTGAAAGTTCACGCGCATAGACTCGAAACTCGTCCAACAAACCGTTATATTGGCCCATCTGTATCGTACCTGTATTACAAACTCCCGTGCCAAGCAGCGAACTACCAAGTGTAATCGTCATGGGAACACCACCGGCGGCAAAATTATAGGCAACCGATGAACCATATTGAATACCATTGACGTACAATCTTTCCCCATTGCTCGATGAATAGGTCGCTGCAACATGAGTCCACGAATTGACCTGAACAATAGATCCGGTGATAGGAACATTGGAACTATTCCAGCTATTGATCGCTATCTGTCCCATTGAAGTGAAACCCATGATAGGTAGGCACCATGCATTGGGTTGCGCCCCATCTATTAGGCTACTCAAATGCATGATTGTTCCGCCAGAAATTTTTGTGGGATTGATCCAAACTGCAACCGTATATGGCCAACTGTTTGTACCTATACGTGTCAGACCTGTGATTTGAATGTAAGATGCGTTGCCAGAAAGTGAAATACCAGCATTAACTCGACCCGATGATGTGTAAGAATAGTTCGTTCCTGTGCCGTTAATCAGCAATGGGCCACTATCAAGAAGACTATTACTATCGAAGGATAGATACGCAACAAGAGTAGCATCGTCCAATACTTCCGAAGCATTCTTTGCACGACTAACGTAGGCGACTGAATCGAGACAACCATCGAAAAAGTTATTCGACACTTGGGCGCTGGTCGTACCAATAGTCAACGCACTGAAACGAAATACATACTTTAAGCTTATTTTTGCACTTGGAAAACTTCGGAGCGCATCAGTTTATTAGGCTAAAACGTCGAACTGATATATACTTATTTTTGAGATAGCAGACCAGTTTTTCACTGTTACACAGGCTGTAGTAGAAACCAGCACGGTCGAAATCAAACGCTTTTTATTTTACCTAATTAAGTTATATATTTTCTAAGTTATCTCATAACTCTCAATCAAATTAAACTTCCAATCAGATCTATCATTAGTATGAATTATTTCTAGGACGATGTCAGGTTCACCAAACTAATTACAGGTTCCACTTTATGTCGGAAGGAAGTCGAAAGGTATTTCTATTTTTGATGACGATGTCAGTAGTAATTATTTTTGCTCAAAAGAGAGAATGCCTTAAGTTTCAGAAACAGCAATAGCTAGTTTTTCGAAATAAAAGTTCGAATTAAGATCGATGATGATCAACAATTTCCTCTATTCTTTGAAAGGAAAACAGAACACCAAATGATTTGTGGAATCCTATATTGGCCTTAGTGTTGTTCGTGGTTATTCTAACCAGTGTTCTAGCATTGAAACTATCATTAAAATGCTACACGGTTGTGAAGGTTTATCAACGATGAAAATTAGCAAATAAGCAATGGGCTTGCGGAAAATGAAGGGATTGAGAACTCATGAAAACTTATCGTAAAAGCCCTCTTTCTGAATTCGCTAGTAGAAGGTTTGGTTTATACGCAGTAAAAGATTCATCATGAAAAATTGTTGAATTTTTAAAAAGTTTTACGTGGAAGATACACTATTATTCATGAATAAAGGATTTTTTCCGAGATCAAATGCTTACTGACCCTGATATGCCTTGGTAGGGTCCGGCTGAACTGCGTGAATTATCCAAATAACCGTTCACATAGACAAACTGTGTCTGAGTCGAATAGTCATAAATGTATGCCTACAATTAATGTCAACAAGAAAATGTTTCGTTTAAGAATGTTTTGTGCTTCACTCCTACCACATGATACCACTGTTTCGGAGTGAATGCCTAAAGGAAACAGAAAAATATTATTGGATACCGATTATGCACGATATCAATTTGTCAAATGTATTTTTTAAATTCCGTCATTCAGAGGTACTTTAACCATTCGCTCACCTGATTTCCCACAAGATCATCGCCAAAAAATCCGAAATATGCTTTTTGACTGCGAATGACAATGTGAAGGCATTGGTCCACAACTTGTTGCTGGCATTGACCGAAAATGGAATTATCTGTGTATGGATTGCCGTTATAGAGCGTATTTGGATACAGCCACACTTCAAATGTAAACGATGTATAAGTGATATTGAGAATCGGCGAAGTAATTGATACTGATTGACTCGATGCTTGATTTAACCAAAGACACGCACCGGCTCCATTGTAACCGGGTGAAGTATATGTGGGTCCGTTGCTGCCGACTCCATTAAAATTGTTGTACAGATCCTGCAGTGTATTGTCGAAGCTCCAAAAAATACGAACAGCTAAAAGATATCTGTTGAAAGAAAACTGACGAAATTTATGCAGTTCAATGCGAACCTGTTTGACAATAAGATCCCGTCCACATCACTGTGTTGCCTAAGATAAATAGCAGAGCTAAAAAATCAAATGTATTATTAATCAAAACTCACAGACGCATGTATTTGTTGCCGTACAATTCCCACCATTGATACACGAAGGATTGCAAATAACTAAATATCAATTGATCATGAAAAATAACAATTTGCTTACGGTATACCCTTGAGGGTGTGGGCGTTACTCGGTTTTTCACCACAACCATACTTTCATTTTTCAAGGAATCCAGATTATCAAACTTTAGAAAAATCTTCTATAGTTATAGTAGTTTGTATAGAAAAGAGTTGTCAATCTTGTAGGAAAATAATGAAGTTTTTCAGTGCAAATGCAGCAAAGAACTACTGAACATAACATCTTAGCCACTCTTGTTTTGCAACAGCTGTTCATTTTTGAAATTTTGGATTCAAGTGGGTAAACCATCAAACATATTTGAACACTCTCAAGTTCGGTCTAATTGAAGAGATTTTACTCAATTTCTTGCATCGTAAATATTTCCAAAAATTTCTGTGCATCATTAAAATAACGATAACTCAGATGACAACTGTGAAGCGTTCTTTAGAACTAGAACACACGTTTCCTGTATTGGACAAGTTCCGTGTAATGATACTTAGCTCAAACGGAAATTTATAGTTCATGAGAGAATATTATGTCGCGAATTGGGGAAAAAGCAACAGCAACATTTGGTCTTCGTTAGCTAGCTAATATGCTTGCATCGAAAAATAGTTTAAACAATGAGCTTGGCGATTTTTGTTTAACTTACAAATTAACGTTACTCATGATATTATATAAAAACTTTGTTCGTAGCTGTGATCTATGATTTTGAAGACATTTTTTCAGAAGTTCATCAAGTTTTCACGAAACTGACTAGACATGCACTCGAATGAATTGAACCTTTCATGATACCATATGGGCATCCAGATGGTTCCAATAAATTCTAGGAGTAGTGAAAAATTTGACGAGTCCTTCAACAAAAATTCTCAATTCGGGCACTTAGCTGTTATAAATTATTTTCTCAAGTCAATTTTAAACAGACTTGGGGTAGTGGTTGTCGTCGATGTCGTTGTCGATGTCGTTGTAGTAGTAGTTGTTGCTGTCGTTGTAGTAGTGGTTGTTGTAGTAGTTGTTGCTGTCGTTGTTGTAGTAGTTGTTGTACTGGTCGTAGTAGTAGTTGTAGCTGTCGTTGTAGTAGAGGAAGTGGATGTGATGCTCAATTCATAACCTACAAAGAATTCATCAGTGAAATGGTTCAGAAACTATTCGAAAATTCCTCTTTGCTATTTTCGTTACTTTTTCATTTTCATCTCTCTCATGTAATATTTTTCTGTCAAAAATCTACTTCGAATTCATGATGATATTCATAAGATGCGAATGCTCTTGATCGTGTTCACTCACTTCCTTTCCCTCTTCCCTGTTGTAGGTATTCGAGTTTCAAAGACTGATTAATTATTTTCTAAATGTTATCTATAGTAGTAAAATACTTGAAGCAAACAATAATTGATAGAACGAAATTGATCAATTATATTTCTTACGACTTATATCGGTGACATATTATTTTTATATAGAGATTCCATATAATATAAGCTAGATACTCTCCATCTCCACTCTCTACTGAAGAAATAGCCATACTGTTTTACCAAGGCTGTCAATGATATTCCTACGGTATTTTTCAATAAACCAATCGAGTGCTTTTGGATAAAAAGGTATATCTGATAAAAGGAAAAGAGAAGAGCAATCTTCTTTCCAGACATATCTTCATAAAAAAATTACCTTCAATTTTTAAAGGGGCTACGTCTACTTCAGTTTCTTATGGATAAGCGATGGGAGTATCAATTATTGCTTTTTTAATAATCAGATAGGTACCTTGGTTGGACTTGTCTTGGATGAAGATCACCAAAAATATCGACAGTACAATGCCGCCTAGCAAAGCTCCAATAACGACGCCACAAACAACAGATTTTGCTTCAGAAGCGACACAAACTGCAATAGCCAATAGATTTTTAAATGAGAAAATAAAATAATATCTGACTTTTTGCCGTATGTTTCACGTCATATTTTTCCGTTGGAGCATTTTTGAAAGACCAGACACTATTTCCATACAACATTAATTATTTTCAAGCGATAGTGTTCGAATCAAATGCGATTGACAATATGTTGTATAAAATCAGACGAAGTTGACAACAATACTTGCAAGTAAAAATATACATACATATTAGTTTCGCGAAGACATACAAGAATGGGAGAATTTCGGTTTTCTTCTTGCACAATGGAATTCATAGAAAGAGTCCTATTCAATATTTTTTCATATGATTTCAGCGAGCGAAGTGAAAGCTGGCCAGTTCGACTCGATTTGTGTTTTTTTAAAATTCCTTCAAATATGAATAGAATATCAATCATTCAACAATAACTGTCCTATTTTTTTATCGTATATAGATTTGTCTGATACACTGTAGGTAAAACCTTACAAAGACACAAATTGGCATTAAACTCATCTTCTGAACAAAGATGGGATCGATTTGAATAGTTCAGGCAGAACAAGACCGAACAACCTAAAATCTGTACCGCTTTCATCTCGAGAGCGTCGTATATGATGCTTTCAATATCCAAAAAGACTGTAAAGCTAATAAGTTCATCGGGTGACTATTGTCGGTTTGAAGTACATACTATTACCAACTCTATCTCTGATCTGGTCTATCTGTTTAAAGGAGATAAAGATAATCAGGTCTAGTCATTTTCTTTCCTACCGTTGAGTAACTGACACTATCATATTTTAAAAGACTTCTATGTAACATGTATATGATTAGAGGCGTCAGCCGGAGGATTGAACGGCAACGACGGGCAACAATTTTCAATTTTTGAAGATTTCCAGCGGCTCCGTATTTGAATGAGTAATGTTTTCAGCGGCAGCTCCCCAGAAATTCTTAAAATTATCAGTAATTTGGTGACTGCAGCGGCTCAACTGTACGGCTGACACCTCTATATATGATCGACTTCACATGTACACTAACTCCAAGTGCATCGCTTCCCTTCTTGCGATGGCACACCTATCAATCGAATTTATCATTCGAATATTGATGCTACTTGCATAGAGCAATACAGGATGCTCGCTTAGAAAGTTATTCGTAGTGTATTTACGAACGAATATAAGAAAATTCTAAGTGAAGTCTAGTTTTGCAATGCTTGCCTTAAAAGATCTACATCAAGAAACGGCTACAGTCTGCGATTCCAGGATACTTCACTCAAGTTGTTTTAATTAACGTTACTTATTAGTGAAATTCACGAAAATAAAATATGTTTTTTTTATCCAAATCTTGCTAGATTTTCTATATTAAAATATAAAACTCTCTCTCTACCTGTAAATGTTCAAATTGAAAATCTTTATGTTCTAGTGAGAGTCTACCACGAAGCTACACATCGTCGCATTCTAAGCAAATAAAATAATCGCGCGTCTCTTGTTTTATTTCGGCAGTTTGCGAAGTGCAAATAATGCGAACAAACAATATAATTTTTTTTCTAAGCTTATTATTCATATATCATTTGATCAAACTTTTCAAGTTCTTTTATTTTTTTGTCTCAAAAAATCGATTTTTTTTTCTTCTTTTTGGTAAAACAAATAAATTAACGACGACATGCACTTCATCTGATTGAAAAACTCTACCGAATAGTAAATAGTACATTTTCAAGAAATTGCACTATAAACCTGATTATCTGCATCTTATGAAAGTAGATTGGCGAGTTGTTGCTGTCGATCAAATGAAAAATTCTACCACATCCATGTGAATGAGAAAAAAATGAAACCTAAAGAAGTTAATTATTCCTTTTCTTATTTATTTTCTTCTTTGTCGTTCATACGTATTACCGTATATATGTATTACGAAGCACAAAATATTATTTGAAGGGCGTGACTATGTATGAGGTAATAGGCGTTCGACACCCCCACACCCTTTTTAAAAATATACATCTAGTATATGATGTGATCAAAGCAACTACTTTTACAGGACGAAAAGTTCTGTGTAGATTACGTTATTCACTTCCGATGCCACAATACATATTATATTTATTATTGACAATTTTTCACGTCTGAACTAACGTCGCTTCTACATTTTAATTTTCATAAAACGTAGGTTTTCTTGTTTTCAAAAATAATAATAAATTGTATGAGATTGTTTTGCAAGATTATTCGGTTTTGGAATATCAATAATGTGATACTTTATTTCTCTTTGGTGCTTGAGTTCCTCTTTTATTTTTCTCACTTTCTTCTTATAACTGATCGAGAGATAGAACATGTCTATGTTTAGTAAAACAGCAAATTCAAGGGCTGATCATCAATCTGTTGAAAATTGATTTCAATAAAAATAGGAAAATTAGATAAATGAAATGTAAATATATACATTGGTAAATATCGATTATAATAAAGACTGAATTGAATTTTCAAAATCAACGTCTATCATTATATGAGCAATTAGAACAGCAGCAAACCAATATTGAATAGCGCCATTTAAATGTTCTTGAACTATTGGAAGAACAAACAAAAAATGTTTAAATGCATTTTTTTCTTAAATTTTAATAACCATTTCTTGATGTTAAATGTTTATGAATATTCTAATAATGAAGATAAACTCGGTCAACTATTATTAAATGAATCCAATCATGAATTTATGTAATACTATTTAAAAATGCACAACAACGTGGTGATTGCGATGCTCAGAATCGACAAAAACAAAAATAGAAAATACATGAATACCTGTCCTTCATTTTCTCTTTTTACATTCACGTTACGGTCGATATAATTATAACGTAAGCGTTTAATAAAGCGAGAAAAATAGACAGAAACGTATTTAATTAGCAGTCCTTTCTGGAAATATCAGCTTGTTAAACGGTCCTAAAGAAAGTGTGATATGTTTTCTGAGTGATGTAATCAAAAATGATTCCGATAAAATAAAAAAAGCGAATGTTTATTATTTCATGAGTATCATTCACATTTCGTTTCAGTATAAATGCGCATGCATTTGCGCAAATCACTCAACTATGCAAGTCCACACAATTTCCATTGTTGGCTACCTGCGTTAATATTCAACAAGGATGCTTACAATACATAAACACCCACTTTTTTCATTCACTGAACTAGTCCATTTATTTTGTGCAATATTTCTCCACGTTTCACGTAGCACTTGAGACATGATTTCATTTTCAAGTGTTGAAGTTATTTGAAAAACAACGATTATCATGAGTCAACTTCAGTGTATTCTGTATTTATTGAACCTCTGTATTCAATTAGTTTAATTTCGTGTGATAAGGCATCAAGAAAATTTTTCTTTTTAACAACGGAATCAAAAATACCTTTGTAAACCTTTAATTTTCGTTCTAATAGAAAAATTCTATAGTTTAGTTTTCTACAAAAATCATCAGATACTATTGTTGTTGTCTCGTGCTTTTATTATTGCTATAATTCAGCTTTTTAATCATTTACAAATTAAATTATTAGTCTATACATGACTAGAAAGCGGATAGCGAGCTGATTTAAAACAATCACATGATACTCAACTTTCCTTTTGATAGATATATTTTACAGAAATAGACTTTCAGTTTCTTTTATTTCGTTCTACTTCTTTTTGAAAAAAATGGGATTAACAGTCAACAACCCATATCTTTTCATTTTATTTATGTGTTTACTCTATTTATTTCGCATTTAATATGCGCAAATAAATGTACGAAAAACTTTTGTCAGATATGTGAAAATACTCATAATTCAAATGTCACACGTAGAAATCAGTTGAATGGATAGGGGTTTGTGAGTTCTTAACGGAAATGAATCAATCTATGAGAACTCATAATGAATACCAAAAAAGATGTAAAGGTCTATATGAATTTTAATCTTTTAGATGTGCAAAAAGTGCCCGAGACTACGAGAAGTCAGTAGCAACTAGAGTAATTATGTTTTAGGCATGAAGAAAAGTGCAGATTTCAAACTTCCGACACTTTCAACATTTTCAACGTTTTTTCAGCAGCTGACAATAAAATTTGGTAACCATCTAGATGCTGAGTCGTACCTGAAAAGCGTTGAAGGTATGGAATGGTACTGATTAGGCAAGAATAAGGTGCTGGAGATTCCAAATATGCACTGTCTCGCTTAGCTTTAGGTTTTCAAAAGTGACGAGAGACTGAAAGAAATAGTAAGGGTTGTAGAATTTTCTTCAATTGAAAAATGTGTTGACTCATCAAATAAAAAATTGAAGTAAGTATAGTTTTTTCTTTTTGGTTATGTTTAATGCATTGAATAAATGAATGTCACAACAAGAAATACTCAAAAGCATTTTCTCGTACATATTTCATTCGCTTTCTGTTTCTGTATGCTCTGATAAAAAAAGTAATAGATAGTGTTTATTCTCAGTCGATCAGATTTTCATGGCTAGTTTTCGTTTTGTTACAGATACTAAAACTATGAGTAGAGATATTGAATTGTAGGGTCGATGCAGAAACTCTCGCATATTGATTGCGGATTATGAACATACTAAAGCACTTGACCCAATCGTCGGCTATGGCCACGAGCCACTTCTCGCACTGACTGAAGCATACAAGCCGTTGGTTCCTATTATCTATAATATATTAGGATATACTTGGGCTGCTCTGGAACACACTCCATATAAGCCGCTCGATGGCCTGACTCGGGACGAATCAGCTGCGATTCGTCTTTATACGATGGAATGGAATGTCGAATATAGTAGCCTATATTCCGTACTAAATCAAACACTCAGATCAACTGTTCGCCAATGGATACAACCTTGGTTGCAATATCTGAAACTTTTACTCATTGTCTTGGTGAAATTACCGTCCGCCCCTCAACCGACGGCTTGGCATGGGATATGAAAAGATCTTAGTCAAGAATTTCCACAGGACACTCAGGTGATTTCGTGGAGGTTTTCATCTTGTACAACAGCACTCCCTGTGTTAGAAAGTGATCTCTTGAGGGTCAGGATAGAGTTAGAACTCTCTTTTCCATCGAAGTTGTCAATGCTAGAAATATACGAAATCACTCGTATTTTGTTAACGAGAACGAAATTTTATTGTTACCAGGCACATACATGATAGCGCAATCACGATTCAATCCGGCACTTGATCTTTACATTCTTCACTTGAAATAAGTGCCCTCATAGGTTCTCCGCTAAAGTAGTTGATGGTATAAATTTGCTAGAATACTCCGAAGATTTCTGAAAATACGATTAGATTTTCAATATAAAAAGAGAAAAGATTTCGAAACAATGTAAGAGTATTGAAATTGTCATTTTAGAGCACATAAGGGCTTCAGAACCCTCGAAAACTTGAAGAGTGCTTACAGAAGTGTTGGTAGCTCTCGTCAATCATCTCGCTAGTTTTTAAGATATTTTTCTACGAAGCGAATCACTCATACATAGCAGTTAATTTACCTCGTTGATGTAAATCTGATATGGTCATACACCCTACATACCCTATGTTCATCTTCGAACCAGTCTGATTGTATGTATCACCAGAGAACATATACTATTACTTTTTACTATGATGAAACATTGAAAATATTTTACTGAATATAGAATGGGATTAGTAGAGGAACACTTACTGATTGATATCCACTTTACTCGATCAAAAAGAAAACTCCGAAGAATTACCTGCATACTAATTTGAAAAGGATTTGAACAGCAGACAGGTTATCATAATTTGAAGTGCAGAAAATTCTTACAAAGAAAAATAATTTTATACAAAAAGTAGAAAAAAGGACGATTTTCCACTTCATTGCTATATTCCTTTTAGCTTCAGCATGCGACTTTGTGTTGGCATCGATGGTGTCATATCAAACTAACAGTGATTCTCCTAACTCAATTGCAGTTGGTGATTTCAACAACGACAATCGACTGGATCTTGGTGTCACCTTCTACGGAGTTAACAATATAGCTGTGCTTTTTGGATATGGCGATGGAACCTTTTCGAAGCAGACAACGTTTCTAACCGCTAATAATTCACAATCGATTATCTTCGGTGATTTCAACAAGGATAATCGTCTGGATATTGTTGCCATTAATTATGGTAGTAACAATGTGGGTATCGTTCTGGGCAATGGCAATGAAACTTTTGCACATCAAACAACGTTGCAAACTGGCACTCATCCGTATTCGATCCCCATCGGTGATTTCGACGATGATAATCAACTAGGTATCGCTGTTTCGAATTTCGGCGATAGTTGTGTGAGTATCTTGCTAGGGTATATATATATAGGGACGAAAACTTTGTTGATCAAATGACACTTACAACTGGCACTAATCCGGATTGGATTGCCGTCGGGGATTTAAACAATGACAATCAATTGGGCACCGTTGTCACCAACGAGCTCGATAATAGTATGAGTGTACTTCTCGGATATGACAATGGAACTTTTGCAGACCAGCTAATGCTTGCGACCGGCAGTAATCCACACTCGGTCGTTGTCCGCGATTTCAACACTGATAATCGACTAGATATTGCTGTCGCTAACTATGATGCTAACACTGTTGGCATTCTTTTCAAAATACTTGCTATTGATGTGTGTTTCAACTTGCTCTCATTTCTCACTCATTCCGTATAATATCAAATAAAACACATTAACTGCTGCATACTTTCTTGATCTCTCGTTGTTTTAATAAAAGTTCTACGATTCGAAAGAGCATGAAAAATTGAACAATACTCACTAATTTCCATCTATTCCCAAATCAAAAGTAAATATTTCAAAAAATAAATATATCAGCAGATCAGGGGTGCAGAATCTGCCGAAAAAATACAAAATTTCCCCACACGGAGCTTTTCTTTTTGGGAAATTTCCCCCACTATAAAATTGAATAATAAAGCAAGGAATTCTCGTTTAAGATGTAGGTATATCCTTAAAAAGATTGTCAATAGTCTATGATTTGTTCTTTCATAATTCTTGCCATTGATGTTCTAAGTTTCTCAAAAACCTACCGACTGTCTAAATATAACAGAAGCAGCTTATATACTTCATGTAAAGATTACAGAAAAAAATTGAATTTATCTATATGTACCAACAGGTGCTTCATATAACTCTTGTAGATTTAGCGTATCAACAAATCTAACACCACCTAAACTGCTTCGAATAAAAAACAAAGCAACTCTATAAACAGTCAATCTAGCTTTTTCATTCTTTTTAAGAAAATCTTCAATGTTTGTTGTCTTTCATTTTGTTCTTGTGCACATCATGTATACAGTATGTGATTTGTTTGAAAAGTGTAATTCCACATTAGCTTTTAAACTTTGAAATCGGGGTGATAGAAGTTCATTTACTTTCTGTTTAATATGTTGAAAAATCTCACATGAAATTTTATGACACCTAATAAATGTTTTGGTGGTTGTCTTTTCCAGATAGAACAAGGCATAATCGTGATTGTCTCTAAATTATTATTGATTTTTAAACCTCTCAGTATCAAGAAATCATCTCAGTATTTGATAGAATCCAGTCATTATCACATCACCCACTTGTGTATATGATGATGATGATGATGATTCTCTGTTGTTTTTTTCTACGTTAATATTGAAGGTGAAGTGGCAGTGCTGATTTATGGGTTTTGCTAAGCCAGCAGATTATAGAATGACATTTTCTTGCTGTTATTTTTCAAATTTATTAGCATCCTCATAATCACCACTGGTAATTGTTCTGCTACTTTCAGTTGTTTCTTTATCACAATGATATCTGGTTAAGTTATTTTTAGGAATCGTTAATTTAAATATTTCCTTATGGTGTTTTTTTTTTCAAATGTACGTTTACGTTATCTTTTCGTCCCACTCATCCACAATAGAAACATGATACCTGCTATTTACTAGAATACATTTCTATTATTCAGACATGCTAAATATTCTAAAAACTAAGAGGAAGCGAAACAAAAATGAGTGAAAAGAAAAGATTTGCGAGTGACAAGGATCATATTATGCGTCATCTGTTCTATGATTGTAGATTAGTCATCATAGCGCTTGTATATGTATAGGAGTACACAATTACAACGATATGTAGCTATAGAGAAAAGACAACAACTAGTGGCATTCGGTTAGGGAAAAACAAAACGAAAAGAGGAGAAAACAAATAGCCGTTTTTGCATCATAGTTACGCTCAAGAAAGAGCGAAAGATAAACAGTAGTGCAACGCATCATCAGCGTCAAACAAAGAAGAATATACTGAAACCGTGAGTAAGAAATGGATGATTCTTTCAAAATTTACATAAACTAAAAGAAGAAAGAGGCATGATATGATCGATGCACATATAAATAAAACAAGATTCGTTTGGAAAAATACTTGCCCCTGCACGCTTAGAAGAGAAAATATTTTTCCAAGAATTTCCCCTGATGCTTAGGTTTGCAAAATTTTCCCCACACGGCCGTACGCGCACACGGGTAGATTCTGCACCTCTGCAGCAGATTGTCCAAGACCCTTTTGCTTTCTCTCAATTTGTATCTGAACAATATATATTTTTCTTTGTTTCAATTTAGCCTTGCTGTTTCTCGTATATGCCCGAGGAATAGTTCATTTTATATATAGACTAGGTGCAAAGAATGCAATAGTTTTATTTTAATTTGAAACGAACTTTAACTATAATTTATATTGAGAACAATTTACACAAATCGATACTTTAAAACAAGATATATTTATTATTTGCATGTAATCTCACACTACTCTAACAACAGTAATTACTGACATCATTTCAGGATCATCACATAAAAAAGTATATGAACTTGATCGTGGATGTAACAAGAAATCTTAAGAATACCCCTACCCCTGTCTTCACCCCACACTAGCACTCCATACCTACAGCATCAGCTTGATTCATACCTTTGTAGTTTCATCTTAATCCATATGGCATTTATATACTAAGCATTTTGCCATAATAAAATTAATACGTAACTATCACATTGAAATAATTTATTCAAAGAGCTGGTGAAGAAGAGTATGGTGTTTTAGTCGTCAAAACATAGATGTCGTACTTGAAGTGTAGTTCAAGAGCTGAACTCAAGTTTCAAGTATGACACTACTGGTACTTTTAAACATTGTCCTTTCGAAAACATACAAACATAATTGAAGGAATAACACTTATGTGAATACTTAATGCATAATTTTTATTTTAAAAGTAAATTAAATCAACAAGTAATAGTTTCCGGAAGAATGTTAAACTTTTGAATGCGATGATTTCCAAGGTCACTGACAAATATATTTCCCTCACTATCAAGTGCTAGGCTATAGGAATACATTAATTGATTTGCTGCATTCCCAAAATCATGACCACCAATAATCGTCACTCCAACATTGTCATTCGGTCCCCATCTTTGAATGCGACCATTATAAGTATCAAGAATATACAAATTTTTGTACTTGTCCACTTGAAGACCGTACGGCATATTAAGTTGACTAGCATTGCTTCCTCGTCCATAACCACCAGCCACTGTGATTCCTTGAGAAGCTCCTTTGACGTATTTTTGTATGCGACAATTACCTGAATCAGTGACATAGAGTGTTTCACAATCATCGACAAAAACACTTGTTGGGCCATCCAGGCTATTAAAAGTAGATACATCTCCGTTGTTGCCAGCGACAATAATTCCATTATTACTTCCATTGGTAAATTTTAAGATACGACCATGGAAATAGTCTGGTAAGTAGAATGTATGGGTCTTTTCGTGAAAGAACATACTGTAAAGAAAACTGACATAATTTACTCCAGCACTTGTATCATTTCTGATAGCAATAGTAATACCACTGGTTGCATCTTTTGGCCACATTTGTATTCGATGATTGCCATAATCGGCGATGTAAATATTTTCATCTTTATCAACATATACATCAACAGGGCCATCTAATTGATTCGGCGCAGAACCAACACCATTACCACCAGCGACTGTAATACCACCACTACTCAATGAGCTACCTAGAAATTTTTGAATACGATCATTGTCTTTATCAGCGACATAAACATTATTTCCATTGTGAGTATCGACAAAAACGCCCAATGGTGAACTCAAATGATGAGAATCCGAGCCGTGTTCACTATCCATACCGACGATAATGGTTCCATCAGTAGACCATCTTGCTGTTTTATAACAATTGGTGATAGCTACAACGAAAAAAGAATCGATTTAGCAAAATGATTCTTTTATTTTTCTGCGAAACACATTTCAACATTTCACGTTAGAAGCAGTTACTAGTGAGCAACAGGGCCCTCCTTATATTTACTCATCTTTAAATAGAACTAACAATAGAACTTTCCCAGATGCCGATCACCTTTGAGTCATAAAACTATGTGTATTGTACCACGGAAATTGATAAAAGTACAATAACGCTCCTATGTCTTCGTATCACCAAGCTAGGAGTACAAATTTTGTAGAATTCGTATACATTTTCGAAGCAAATTGTGATTGTAAGCTGTAAGGTACGTTTTTTTTAGCGGCTGTCTCTCCTCCTCCACATACCAAGCATTATTAATTAAAAGCTATCCTCCTTAATTATTAGCTTTTTTTAAGGATGATTATAATTCATAGGGCTCGAATATCTTGTTTTGCTGTCCGTATGAAATAAATTTTAAAAAGTAACAGATAATTACAAAAAAAACTTATTTTTTAAAATAAAAGCGTCTTATTCGTGATTGAGTACTTTGAATATATAGTATTAATTTCAATCGTGAAAATCGACCAGACGACATAAAATATTGCTCCCGCATATGTTAGACGAATTTCCGGAGAAATATGTACCGAATTTCGATTGATCTCCTGAAACTCCTAAAAACAAATTTCATTATGAGCTTACAATCGACAGCTTTCCAATCACACATTTTCTCAGCTTCATTCCAAACAAGTCCAGCCAGACATGACATTAAGTACGATACACCAGATGAACACTGATAAAATGAATGTACGTCAGATGGATTAGCAAAGAAACCATCGTTCTTGCACGTGAATCCATAAACAATTGAAGTGACGATCAGAGATAAGATGCCAATAGAGAATATGATTCTCATTTTCTTTTTCCTTAGAAAAATGAAGTGACAATAAGATAATCGATTTTCGTTCTTATTTTAAGCTTCTGGCTATTTATCAACAGGTGGTTTGATTTATACAAAGTGTGATCACGATGAGATACGTTGTTTTTTTGCTTTATGATATATATGGCAACAAAAAATATTGACTCATATTCGAAGTCTGTAATCGTCGATATTAGTTGACGTAGATGATATTGAAGTTGTTGATGATATGCATGTGGATCATATTGGTACTTGTTATCTGTTCTTGTGCATTACATGTTGGGTTTTGTTCAGTTAAGAAATTACCAATTGTGTCGATTAGATTATGAATGCGAAAGTGGAGCTGGATGAAGAGATGACACGCATCCATTCTCTACTGTGAAAACGCACCGAAAGACACGCTAAACTATGAAACAAATTTTGAAACCTACAGTTTATAGCTCGTGAATTTACAGAGAACGATGAACAAAACAAAAATTTCTCCAGTCTAACATAAACAGTACCAAAAAATAAACATTTATTGGGCACAAGAGCGATACAGGAAGCAGAAGCTAAAGAAATAATGGCCTTGCCCATGATTGAGACCAGAGTATGTCTTCTGGAAGAGAAGATTCAACTGATCCAATTCAGTATAGCGACGAAGAGATCAATCTCGCTCATCGATATCTCGCCAAAAAGTGTAAGTACTCGATCGCTTCTGTTTGAAATATTTTCGTGAGAAAAAATAAACACGAGTCTTCATACTGCATATGAAGTGACGTTCGAATAGTTTTATGAAGCAAGCCTAAACTTTGAATATACAGAATAAAGGGACAAGAGAGCCTGTGCTAGATGTGCTTGAAGGATGCTCAAGTAGCAAGTAATTCTTCTATGAAAATAAACACAAACCTTTCCATAGTGAGCACGTTTGAAAAGTCCTATAGGTGTTCACATTTGAGGGCTTATGGTAGGATATATTTCAATAATTATCTTGCTTTTGATGGCTTCATGTTGAAAATAAGTGATTTTTTTCAGTAGATTTGTGCGATTAATTACGAGACCAATATGAAATGAAAACAAAAGAAATATTAACATCGTGTATAAAAACAAAAGAAAAGTCAACAGTGTTTCCTTCATATTATGTATATAATAAGCATCACTTGTACAGTTTCCAAAAAGTAAAAACCATTTATGCAAGAATCGTTCTTTCGTTCGAAATTTGTGCATAAGGTAAACCCTATTCAGGTACGAAAAAGACCTAAAGCAACAAGTGCTATTAGGTATATCCACTAGAGGATTGAAATGAAGTAGCCCATCGTGCATGGCAACAACTAAATAGTTGCATTTATCACTAATCTCTTTAATCATTACTATTTGTTCAATGTCTTCACATAAACTGGAACTGATTCTTTCATTAATACCTTCACTTGTCAAAGTCAAATATCATCAGACTTTATCTTCGATGGTCAATATTGGGGGAAAATGATCAGCGATAACATATCAGAATTGAAAGGATTCTAATTTGTCTCTAGTGCTTCTGTGACCCGATCGCTGATTACAGCTTTTAAAACACAATTTTGGATGGAATAAAAATGCTAGTTTGCCATCGTATAACCGATAGACTCATCAATGAAGTGATCGATAGAAGAACAAATGCGATATGTATGTCAGTACGTATCTTTGTGCTGTAGGAGAAATGAAGTCTGTCTCACAACACTAGAAATCTCAGACGAGATTGTTTTTTCGATATAATGCGATGACGTATTCTCATCTATTCTTATATAGGGTAAAGTGAAACATAGGTATGCCAATAATAATTTCTCATGATATTCCAATTCATTTCTGGCATTATTTCTTTTGTTTAAGTAAGACAGATACGATGAGGAAATCCTGAAGAACTTTTTGATTAGCCTCCAAGTTAAAAAATAATAATGATGTAGACAAGATCATATAGCAATGGAACTTATACTGACTATCACACCCACATCATCGAGACATTTTGTTTCGGTTGCCTTAGCAGCCTTCTCTTATTGATAACTTTTCAATCGAGAAAGACATGTGATATTGGTTGTGGTTTTTATCTGTTTGCGCCTTCGATCGTATCGACAATTACTTTCAGTATATTTGCAATCAAATTCTGGGCTCATATAGCATCACAGATGGGTGCGATAAAAATCGTCGCTTTCTAACTGTACAATGTATACTCATTAATTATTTTGTTCGAGTTCTTGTGGGCAGTGGTGAATGACTTAGTGCTTGTGTCGCTATTGAACGACCAATAAACGTTGCACTAGGAATCAACTTTGACAAAAAAAAAGAGTAGACAATCGACTAAATTGATTACTCCGGTTGTCCTTCTTTTGACTAGTTGCTCTCATGTATACGATCCACTTCATCGCCATTTAATGGGCGATGAAGACAAGCAATGCATATGGTGCGCAAGTAAATATTCACCATCCATACAAATATATGACTGCTTTTTTGAGTATTTTTCATTTTTTGATCCCATTCTCGATCAATTGTATATCGGCATTAGTAATTATCACAGCGGCGGCTCGTACTTGTTCAAAAGCGCAGAAGAAAAGTTCGGTTAAGCAACATTTTCGCGGATGTTGGTGTGGGGGTGAGTCCTTTTTTCACCCACACCCACGCAAATAATTATCGGTATTGCCAATATAAGTATAACTCCCAACCGTTAATCATACATAAAAAATATTGTATATTGAATATGTTTTGAATCACCACTAGGATGTGGATGTACGTGTGATTCATGCACAAATGGAGGCATCATATCCACACCCGTACCATATTTAACTGTCAACATTTATTTTATTTATAAATTTTGGCTTATGATTAGACAATGAACAATGATACATATATACAATATTTTAACATAGGACATTAACACGAGTTTAATATACGATATGTACAATTGAAAATGTTACAAATTTGTTTTTATACGATGCTACAATTGAGTTGAGAATAGATTACCTCAAACATATATACATACGGCAATATTTAATCTTAGAATTTATACAACCTATGACTGATCTAGAGAAGTTTCGAGTTTGATATCGAATTGAGCGGAAACTGAAAGTCAAAATTCAATGTCTATTTTAAAATTCACGTTACATTTACAATTTCTGTTTGGTGAATTGTGTGGATACGATTAGATATCGTTTTTGTATTCGTCATTTCATTTTTTAGTGGCGTAGCTTCGTAGAATAAAAAAGTGTATATCTTCAAACTTTGATGTACTACTGAGTTAACCGTTATGTATAATATGTATGCTAAGGTATTTTAGTTACCCTTAAAGATTCTGTCCCTGTATAAATTTCTATTTCAACGACGTCAAAGTCACAGAGTATTGCTAAAAACCAAATGACATATTCTAATAGACGAGGGTTCAGGCAAGAGAGCCTCTATTTTAATTTTTTCCCTCAAAATATGCTTCTTCGTTGATGAGCACTGACTATAGTAAAAATGTACCATCGCTTTTTTGTTTTAATTCACCAGTCAACTATCCTAAATATAACATTGACTTCAAAATTAGAATTGAATTTTGATTTGAACAATTCACTAAGTCCGACTAAAGAAACACTCAAGCTAGAATTTGAAATTCTTTTGAGTAAATTTGATATTGAATAGACTCTAATATAAAATGCCGATATGAAAGTTCTGCATACACATATAAGTGTATAGATTTTTAAAGTAATTGATGATGTTTAGATAATAGTGGATTGTCTGGATAAATCAGTAGGTAATCGATAATTAAGTTCACGTTTGTGCCATGATTTCATAGAAAACTTCGTTGTTTTCTCTATAATTTGATTATACCTTTCCTAAATGAAAAAGTCAAACATATAACATATTAGTACTTTTTTACATTAGCATAAACAATTTAGTAAGTGAAGATCGAAGCCAGAGATGGAACCGGCACTGGTTACCGGGAGATCCAAATTTCAGATTGATCAGTCTGACGGTAGATCAGCCGGTAGCAGGTCTATCTCGTTTCCTTTCATTAGTATATTATATGTAGCTATTCAAAATATCATGTTCTTAATGATGTAAAATGATATGTGGATGAGTTTTTTCTACTATCAGCGAATTATTGATACGTTAACCAGTTGTTAATTGACTAGTCACTACCAATAGACCGACCAGTAGCCAGTAGAAGGTCCAGTCCGGTGCCGGTCTTCAAACTCCAAACCGGCTCCACCTATGATATGTACTATAATTTATGGGTTCAATCCGAAGTCTTTTCATAATCTACTACGAGAATAGATATCTAGTATACATTTGAGATCCCACAAATAAAGCTCTTACTTATCGGCCAATTCGAAAAATTATTTTATAAAAACGATCAGCGTAAAAAATATCTACAAGATAGGCTATGTTTGGAAAAAAATTAAAATATTTTGCGTTTGCACGGTGGACTTCTCATGGAAATAGGATGTGTGTTAGTGTCGTAACCAGGGTATGGCATGCTTGAGCCTTGCCCAGCCACCGGTCATTTTTAAAAAACTGATTTCAAACAAAGAAGCATTATGTCTCACCAAAGATAAGCTTGATTAAAATCGTTTGGGCACTGCCAAATCCTGGTTACACCACTAGTAGGTGTGGATGTCTAGAACATAAGCATAGACAATCACACCCACACCCGCCAACTATTCTAAAATCCATTCAACAAGCTTAAGCTAGTTTAAAAAAAGCTCTGAATTGGTTAATATATCAGTTGCATACGTTAAAAATATGTTCATAGACAAAAATGTCTTCGTTAAACCGCTAAAAACGCGTTGATAATAGAAAAAAAAACGTTTTCATGCATTTAATTCGTCAAGTGAGCAATTTTGAAAGCGTTGGTCTCTTGAATTCTCTCCTTCAATACGTGAAAACAACGCTTTAAACGCTAATTTGTCGACTTCGGTAGGATAACATAGGACACAGAAATACCCAGCGTGACATTATGCTTACGATAGTAGTATCATTTCGAACACATCTATTAGCTCTTTTTTCTAGCGCGATCTTGAAAGTACTACTAGATCTTCTCACTTTTCAAAGAACTACTAAAGAATAATTAATACAACGGTGCATATACATCGTATGAGAGCAAAATAATAGTCTCGTGCCTAGAGGTGTCAGCCGTATGACTGAGTCGCCGCAGCAGCCGATTTTCCCATAATACCAGCCGCCGCCGCCACCAAATTACTGGTAATTTTAAGAATTTGTAGCAGTCGCCACTAGAGGTGTCAGCCGAAGGGTTGAACGGCGACGGCGAGCAACAGTTTTCAATTTTTGAAGATTTCCAGCGGCTCGTTATTTGAATGAGTAATGTCTTCAGCGGCGGCTGCTACAAATTCTTAAAATTTTTTTCACAGCGGCGGCGTCGGCTGATATTTGTAAGTCCTTATGTGGCAGCGACGGCTCAGTTAAAAATTCACTGACGAAAATTAAAAGAAAAATGTTCGATTCGATCGCATATGTATTGATGTCAGCGGCGAAAAATAACGCTATCAAAATTTTTTATCTCTTGCAGCGGCGCAACGGCTAAACTTGTTTTTTCGCAGCGGCGGCTGCCACAAAATTCTTAAAATTACTACTAATTTGGTGGCTGCGGCGGCTGATATTATTGAAAAATTGGCTGCTGCGGCGGCTCAGCCGTACGGCTGACACCTCTAGTCGCCACCGTTCAACCCTTCGGTTGATACCTCTACTCGTGCCTGATCAATACATTTCTTTTGTCATTTTTCTGAAATTGACCTCTCTACCACCTATCTCTGTTCGTGCTTAATTTCTTTATCAAACTCGATTAGCATCAAACTCTCATGTTTGCTGTTTCGTTCTCATTCTCATGCTTATTTTTCTTTTCATACTAAATATACGACGTTATAAGACGAAATCAATAAAATGAATAGATTTTTATTATATTCAGTACGCTCTCATATTCAAAAACGAGCACATGAAATCTGAAATAATTGTTGTTCATTATTGAAATAAGTCATATTCCACAGACTTTTCATTGTCGAAAAAGAAAAGTTGAATCAACGAAACTTTCAATCAAATTTATCGATGAAGAAGAATCAATTATAACTCAATTGATACACGAAGAAAATAATTTGCGATGAATAAATACTTTAGTTCATTAAAAAAAAGATTTATCAATGTACTTTCTTGAAAACAGTTCTATATCGACGTCTAATTAATATTCTATTGCATGCAACTATTCATATCAAACTTTTTCCACAATTGATTGACGCGTCATGATGAAAATCAACGAGACATATTTTACTTACAAGACAACGAGACCACAATATTCTTAAACTGGTTGCTAATCTATTAGTAATTCTAATACGAGTTCTGATGCATGGAACCGATGTGCACATAAGCCAAATTCCGAAGGCAGTTGCCATGAAACAAAGGGCTAAAAGAATATAACCGTTTGCATAAGATGCATTCACCGGTGCGATCTATTAAATATAAAAAAATATTTTCAGAATATATTATATTACTAAATATGTGTGTATTAAATAGATAATATTTAACAAGTATTCAACAAATTCAGATGTGTCAAATCAATATATTTCAATTAATTATCATTTACTTTCTTTGTGTCATTTATTGATGGACAAAATAACAAAAACAGCATAAATTAATAACTAAAATTTGATTGAAATAATATAGGGTGCATTCATATTCATAGTCTATTGTTTTACAGATGGATTGCTTAATCTTTTTCATATCTTGAATGATTTCGGTTCCACATTGATCAGCTTGAGTACAAGGTCAAATTTGCAGTTTAATTGAAAAGTTTCCTAAAAAATCGCCCTTCTAACTGTTCTCAGAATAGATGCACAGCGCTTGGAAAAACCATTTAGCACAAAATTGATTGTCATTATTTAACATTTTTTTATGACTAACATAATTTCTTTTATGATGATTTTTTTATAGTCATAAAGAAATAATCATAGATGCAAAACTTCACTAAATCCTCTTCAGATAACTTTCTAGTCCAATTCGTTCTTTCATGGTGGATTTGTGAAAGGACGAAAACTATAAATTATATTTTTGCAACATGGTCAAAATATCGGCTAATGTAATTCATTGAGAAACAACGATGGTATTGTCAACTATCACATACACTTTAATGAGGTTAAAAGAAATAAATGTTTCTAAACATAGAGCGAATAATGCTCGTTAAGTGTATACTTAGCAGCTTGAACAACAAAGTTATTTATCAGTACACTCGTCAAAATAGTAAAACTATATTGAAAGAAATTCAAGTAAAGTTATTCAAAATATGCCAGATGGTACCAAAGTCTATATCGATGATTAATGACCCTGGTACATTTTTGAAGGCGAGAACAAGATAAAGACTTCAAGCACGCAAGCAACGTGACCAATCCAGCTACCAGTAAGTGTGATTCTATATTACCCGATTCAACAGTGAATTCGTCTGATTTAAACTCGGTATAAGCTTATAAATTGTGATCACATGATCTGTTGAAAAAAGTAAAAAAGTGAAACATCCATGATTGAGCAACATGCTTCAACGAAGAAAAGAAAACCCGGTTTGAATTTTCCTCATTTATTTTCTAAACTTTTTAAAAGAAAGATGTTTGGTTAGAATTTCTAATCATGGTGAACGAATAGAAGTTTGAAATAGGATTTCTTCAAGTAATGTTTATGAATCGTCAAATGGTGTATTATTTTCTTTAAAAAAATCGAAATGAAAGAACCCTGGTATAGATGATTGTCACTTCAAGAACAACATCAACCACACCCACATCCTTACCTATCCATACAATTTTACAATTAACTTTTAAGCTACAAAAAAGCATGACTAGATATCAAATGCATTGAATAAAATTCGATGAGTCGATTTGTTAAGATCCAAGTATGAAAAGTCATACTCATACAAGATTCAACAGTTAAAATGAATAACTAGATAATAAATGTGCAAACAATACTCACGAAATTACGAATAGCAATAACTAAAAACGTGGTCGGCACTAAAAAGAACATTGTAAATGAAGGAATACAAATGAGCCATTCTTTTCTCGTCTGAAATCAAAATAAAATGATTTAAAAGTCCGCTTTTTGTAATCGTACTAATATCCATTTAAAAAAAAGGAGTGTCCTGTCTTTTTTGAATAATTTTTGGTAGAAAGAAAGAGACGACCTATTTGTAGAAATGTGTGCTGAAATTTAATTGCTTAACACTGTAATAATTAGATAAACTCTTGGTAGACATTTTAAAAATGATATTCTGTAGTCATTTTTCATACGACCTTGATCGTTAATATATTTGGTAGATAGGAAACATTGTTTCATTTCGATCTACATAAAGTCGATATTGCCAGCTTGTTCCACTCGAAAGTTATAAGGGTTTTCTTGAGATGTACAATTTAAGCCAATAGATCTGGGATCACCCAAAACAAATCTCTGTAATGATAATTTATCGTACTGAGTGTGACGGCGATAGTGTTTTGGATTCAAATTTAAATGATCTAACACTGTTATCTGGATATTTGTGACGTGTAGACTTCGTATGATACATGGTGGCAAACTGAAAACTTTGGAACTACTAATATAAAGGTTCCAGATCATTTCGAACCCAAAACTAAATATCACCACTTTACTCAGTATATGGAATTAGACATGCCGGGATGCTTTTTGCAGCTGAGTCCAGGCCTATCGACTGAAACCAGGGGTCTCAAGAAAGCTCTTTAATTGAAAAAGCTAGTAATGCTGTTTTTGTATAGATCGAAAGGGCAGAAGTTTTCCTATCTTATAGTCATATTAACAATTAAGGTTGACTGAAAAATTGATGCAGAATATCGTTTTCAAAATATCCTCCTAAACTTAATCCGATTAATTCAGCGCGTATATTGCGTCTTATTCTTCTATTTACAATGGTGAAAACTCCAACTCTCCCTATCTTATTTCTATGAAAAGTGATTCAAAAAACACATCAGAGCCTTCTTTTTGTGAAATAGATGTTAGCTATTTCAGGTCATTCAATCTAGTGAATAAAGTTGACTGTCTAGAACAACTTATTTTCTTCTATTTGGATGACCTTGGATAAAAATCAAATTTTAACTTATACAAAAATTTCAATATTCTGTAGAACAAAATTAGTCCTTATATGATTTCGAAACCAAAAATAATATCTGTAAGGAAAAATGGCTCATCTTTACGTTATTTCTTTTATACAATATTTTTGACAAAACTAAATGGCATACTAAAGAATATGATAAATAGCATGTTTTCAAACAGACAAAAATGAGTCATATGCAAATAATAGTCAAAGACGACGCAAAGATTGCAATTTTGTTCTTATCTCTACTATTCGCAATATGCAAGTATGCAAATCTTATCATTCTTTGCGCCTGAAAATATCACAATAAATAAACGATTTAAAGTGATTGACGGAAAATAATGAACGATGAACAATGGTCACTTACATCTTCGCGTGCATAGTATGATTGCGGCTGTTGATTTATTAACACTGACGTTGATTCACCTTGTTTATTAATTTTATTTATTGATGATGTCATTATAGTCGACCAGATTAAATAAGACTTTTGTTATGAAAATAAAAAGATATAAAATATGACATCGTTTTAGAAGATGTAAGTACAAATGACAAATTATCAGTCTTAGTGAACCTATATTTCTTTCAAGATTAACAATCTAGAGATCAATCGATTGATGAAAAGCCGTGATTTCACAAATATATTTCTTTGAACTTGGTAACATAATGGTTACGAAATGTAAATCCGTATTTAGGTAAACACGCATATTCATGTATATATGTATGAGTGAATTGCAACTTTTTGGTGCAATCGGCTCAAAAAATGACAGTAGTACATAACGATTTCTGAGTAGTTCATTTTATTACTGTCTATACTTACATTGCATGGCGAAAGTTTTCCAATACTATTAGATATTAAAAGAATTACACGACGTGGAGTTCAATGTCTGCCGAATTCAATGATAAAAATGACTTTACTCGCTACAAATACTTGTATCCTTTTTTAGCTTTGAATCGGAGATTAATAGTCGAACAGTACACAACTCACTCAGATTTGCTTGATGAATTCTAAAAAGTACTTTTAAATGAGCCCAGCGCGAGGTATTTTCGGGAAAAGCGTCACTCTGCATATTTTTCTGAAAGGCTACACTACATTCTTCAGTGTTACCTTTTTTTCTGGTCAATCAGCCTATAGAAATGATGACATTGTGATACTAATCAAGCGACTTCTAGCATAAGTAATTGATTCGAGAATAAAAGACTCGTATCATAGATACAGGCTACGGAGTTTATTACAAAAAAAAACTTTTTCAGTCTTTGAATATAATGTTTTCTTCATTTCCTGTAATCTTTTAAAAAGCGGTCAAGCTAGTTACTAAGGGAAAGGGAAGGAGCCAATGGATAATATTTAGGAAGCTACTTACATAGTGAGTATTTGATCAGATTGAATTAATAAAAATATACTGATAAAACTTAGTTGATATCTGAAATGCAAGAAAAAATATAAATGAATGTTTATGAAATGACTGTAAGTTGAAAAGATTCAACAAGAAAAAGTAGCAACAAATCAATGGGAAAATATAGTAGAAATGATTATTCAGGGATAGAATGGCATAATGATGGTGAGTGTGATCGAGGATTTGATGATGGTTGTAGTTGTAGTGTAGGCCGTGGATTTAGTTGAGTTTCTTCTACAAAGTTCTCTATATCAATTGTTACAGTTAAACGGTAAGCGACGAAAAATTCGAAGCATAGATGTATGATATTAATAATCTAAAAATATATTTCCAACGCATCACCATCTTTCATTTTCTAAATATCATTTTTATTTACTCTTTTGAATAAACGTTACTTAAGAGGATAGATCTCCAGGTATTTTCCTGGAATTTCAACGAAAGTTATATGGGCTTATGAAGTCAACTATTGTGATTTCAAGTATGAAAAATTTACAATCAAATGAGGACCATTTCTCGTTAAATGAAAGAACACCTTTGTTGAGTTTATCGAATCTTCGATGTCTTTCTCACCATCATCTCCTCTAATAGTTTCAATATTTCATACAACTTAATTGACCATAAAAAGCGAAAATAACAGTTGGATATATGAATATTTTCAAATATTGCTGATATTCCTGGAATTCTCAGACGTTGATACAACATACATGATCCTTTGCGGGAAAGAAGGGACTTCGGTGTTAAAGATACATGAAATTCGTTGAATTTCAATCAAGTCTTTGAAGTAACATAAAGGTTCACGAGTCTAATGAGTGGTTCTGAAGTCTTGAAACTCACTGTCTCTCCCTCAGTCGGGCAAAGTGGCAGAGCGAAAAGCAAAAATGCATCAAGTACTGAATCGCATTTATTCCAAGTAATTTTCCCTTAAATTTTTCTCCATCATCACGTTTTAAGATAAATAAATCAGGAATAAGCGGCGAGAATCACTGAAGGAAGCGAAAACATAGCATACCATAGCAACAAGATCAATACCAGATAACGGTTGTTGGCTAATACATAAGAAAATAACGATTACTAATTGAGAAAATGCACCAAGCCATCGTCGAAGAAGTTGCTAAAATATGAAATGAACATGACATATATATTGTGCAATCAGTTGTTCATTTTTTTAATATCTATGCAACATATAGCGCGCGGATTTACATAGTGAGATGAAAAACCGAAAATAGCCCAGATATAGCAGAAATCAGTACCAAAAATAAATAGCGGTCGGGTAGATGAATGATAACAAGATTGAAGAACGAAAATTCATTGGGTCCAGGACAAGGTCCATAAGTAATATATAAAAGTTTATCTTTTACAAGAGCTGGACTGGAAATAGCAGCTAAAGAAATAGTTGCCTTGTCCCTGATCAAGATCAAAACAACCCGTAAAAATTAAAAATTCATCAGATTCAGAAAATAATGGACAACCAAGCGAACGTGATCTCGAGCTCTAATATCCAAATTTTAAATATCGGAATAAATACGTCTTTTATAAGAGAAGATTCAATTGGTCAAAGATAGTGATGGAGAGAAAAATCTCTCTCATCGAAAAAGCGCCAAAAAGTGTAAGCACTCGATCAGTTCTGTTTCAAATATTCTTACGAGAAAGATCAAACGTATGTCTTACTATCAAACTAAACAAAATAAGTGCAGAAACTTAAGATGAACACGAGTCTTTAGATAGATGAAACTATGTTCGAATAGTTTTATGAAGCGAACTCAAGCTTAGAATACAGAATAACGAGAAGAAATCGGTGTTAGGTCTCCTTGAAGTATACTCAAGCAGCAAATACTTTTGAAAATTCCCTTGGGGATTCACATTAGAGGTTTTACTGTAGCATATGTTTCAATAACTATCTTACTTTTGATGGTTGTATGTTAAGGAGAAATGCTTGCTTCAGCAATGGCAAGTGATTGATTACTAGACCAAGATGAAAACAAAACAAAATAAATATCAATGCGATGCATAAGGCAAAAGAGCCAAACACATTCGCATGATATTTATTGATACAATAAGTATCACTTGTACAGTTATCTAAAAGCAAAAATTACTTATGAGAGCATTCTTCCTAAGTTCGAACTTTGTGCATACGGTAGACCCCATCGAGATTGAGGTACGAAAAGTCTTAAAATAGCAAGTGTTCTCAGGCATATTCACCAGAGCTATATTCAGCTATTTCACTGAAATTCTACTCTATGAGACGGTATCTACACTAAAAGATTGAAATGAAGGAATCAGGACCCAAAACGTTTCCTACAGAGACCCAATTATTACTAAAATATGCTTAAAAATACAGTATAAAATATCATGTCCTCCAGAAGATATTGAAATTCTAAAAATCACTCATATCCGACAAAAAATACAAAATCTCAAGTTTTTTTTCGAAATTTAATATCTCGTGAAGGAAAAAGTGTGTGGCGTTGTAACTTCGGGACATTCTATTTAAAACTGGATCTATCGATGACCAAAATTTCAGCTCGAAAGGTCGACATTCAAAGTTTTTGTAACTACAACTCTATAGACTAGAACTCCAGTAACATGACTATAACTCGAGCAAAGGCTTAAGAACACTTGTCTTCTGGATTTTTCATATCTTCCTGGCGAATGGATGGAAAAAGGAAAAATGTCGAAACGGAAAAATATCGAAAATAAAAATGTCGAAAACAAGAATATGAGATGAACATGAGCTTGTAAGATTGAATTGAGGGTGCAGGAGGCTTGTACTTCAATATACTCTCGTTTTCAGCATTTCTATCCATCTGCATTTGTATTAATTTTGATTTTGATATTTTTATTTTCGATATTTTTCCTTTCTGCCTTTTCCCATCATACCTTCCTCCTGGCACCTACGCTACTCGCAATGCTTGAACTTAGTAACATTTTATCAGTTGGAACGATTCCCTCGTGAGCGAGTAAAATTACTTCAATTCTTTCGAATGAACTTTTCATTGGATTTCTGTATTGTTCAGATAACATATATGCAAAATATCAGATGAAAAATAAATTTCTCTCAAAGTTATTTATCCGGTTGTACTTAAACTGAAGTCTTTATTAAATAAAATATCGATTTTAATCATTAACCCATAAAAAAATATTCTTCAGTATTTTTAATTTCTGTAAATTATGTATGTCCATCTCTGTACGTTACAAGAGATCATATCTGCTGGAGTATTATACATGAAGAATAGGCTGATTGACCTGAAATTTATATAAGTAACAGGCAATGATGGATTGAACAATGGTTACTCAGTAACTTTAAAGATCTGTCTTTTGTCAGGAGATTAAAATGCTGTAAAACGATTTTTCAACATTTTATAAATACAAAGCGCAGTAATGTTGTCTATTGCTACTTGAAAGATTCATAACTTAGCATTGAATAAAGAACTTTTAACGGGTTATGCCCAATAGAAATCTTTTTCATATTATCCTTACTAACATGGTCATTTATGAAGGTCCATAAATATACCATCTTCATAACGCCTATAAAGCCAACGCTGAATAACACTAATAAGAGCAGCACCTGAAATTAATGAAGAAAATAATTAACTAATACCATCAAAATAATTTTTTTCTATTGACAAAAATATAAAACGAGCTATTTTACCTAATTGATTTTCACAATGAAAGCCTATTTGTTTCAAAGACTAGCTTATTACTTATTAATTGATAAAAACTGCACAATCTTTTTATGTTATCCTTGTCACAGTCGGTAAATTAATATACGATAAAAGATCACAAAGGAGATTCATTGCTTTTTTACAGGATCGGAACTGAGCGTAGACTGACGTTCTTTTATATTTTACAAAAGCGAGAAATTAATGCAGAATGAAGTAGAGTACTTGCATAAATTCGGCAGTTCAATCTGATAGAAAAATACCTGAATTTAGCGGAACGAAAATATTTTTTGGCGAAACACGTTTCATGATAAATCGTATAGGTGATTATTCGTTTTTTCCGAGAGATTTCTATTTTTTGGATACTCTACATTGTAGCTTCGCATGGCATTAAATAGAATTTATGATGCGGATGAGAATTATGAACAAATTAGTCCTATTTCTTCTATTTTCAAGGCATAACTATCAGATGGCTTAATAATTAAGATCATTACAGTAACAACATTTCTTTATTTAATCATTCTTGGTAATGAAACATTTTATTTTAAATAATATATAATATCTTTCCTACATTCATTCACATACAAGTAGATATTTACAAAGATGATTCAATCCTGTTGCAAACTACCGAAATCAACTACTATCCTCATTACAGACCTCAGCAATCATTCGCATGAATTCAAACATTCACAACCACGATTAAAGATGTTGAACGACATTAATAACAAAGCTTAAAATTTTTTAGAACATTCTAGAACCACCATTGAAATGACTGACATATGCTTATCAATAATCTGAATAGAGTAGTTTATTATTCATGCACTGATAAACAATTATCTGGCAGATATCAATGATATTGTACTTCCGACAGCTGCGATACGGTCAACAGAAAGGCATGATTGGATTATCATCTAACTTTCAGAAATAATATATGCGGCTCCGTGTAGATGTTTGTGTCTGTCTTATATTAGCATAGAGAAATTCATATAAGATCCGAAAGGAAAAATACTTTATCTTTTGCTAAAAAAAATAGTTTTCTTCCAGCACCTTTTCATTGAAGAGAACCAGGATCCAGCGTTTCTAACCTTACTTTTACATCATATGCCATTTTAGAACAAAAACTTAGCTCAAATCAACGGTAAAAAGCTAAAATATATCTTTGTCAAGCTACTTCTACATCGTATAGAAGAATCCTCTTCTGATATTCACTTTTATTCGCGAAATATCCCTGGAAGGATATTCAATGCTTTTCTCACTCTATTTCCATTGGAAAATATGACCAAGGCAAGAATAAACTGCATCAAATGCTTGTACATAATCAGGTAAACAGTAGGAAATTATATTGTACACCAGCGTAACAAGAAAACAATATCGAATAGCTGAAATGAATTTAATAATCTTCAATGTAATTATTGAAAAAGCATTTACTCAAATTATTTATCAATATGGTGTTAATATATAATTTTGTTTCCCCGCAATGACTGGTCGTAATGATGGCATCAGTACTCATGTTCAACAAGAAATATAATGCTATGTGTTATGAAGAAGTAATGATTTATGTAGTGAAGTTAGCGAGAGTAAATGTATCGAGCTAATGAATGTAATCTATTGATTCTTTCTATCTTTACCCTTAATGATTCTATATCCTTCTACTATTCTATAGTTTATCAATATTTACTCACATGCAGTGTTTTTAATATCAAGTACTACAAGCAAAAGCAAAGTACCCGTGGTACTTACGATTTTGAAAAAGTACCGTGTTTTGCACTTTGCTCGGAAAAGCAAAATACCCTGATGGTACTCTGTNATCTGGCTAGCTTAAATAAACATTTTTCTGAATTAACTTTTAGTATTGTGTATACAAAAAAAAATAAAGTACAATTTACTATTGTTTTTCTTCTTTTGCTAGCCATTGGCTAACAAATAAACAAAGTACTTTTTTTATTTTACAGAGTACCATCAGGGTATTTTGCTTTTCCGAGCAAAGTGCAAAACACGGTACTTTTTCAAAATCGTAAGTACCACGGGTACTTTGCTTTTGCTTGTAGTACTTGATATTAAAAACACTGATTGTCAATCAGTGATTGACAAGCAAGAAAAAGCAAAAATATGGCTTGTGGGCTATTCCAACCTATTGAGAGAGCACCTATCATCCCTTCCAAATGTGAACAGAATACAAGGACATCTATAAAAACTAAAGCTATATATGAGTGAATTGCAACTTTTTGGTACGATTGAATTTTAGCTGTATTTTTTGAATAACGTTTTTTCTCTTCAGCAGATTTGGACAATTTTTTTACAGGATAGTACTCCCTAAGTGTCCCATTTCCATACAAAATGTCAGCCCTCTATCTCATACTATAGGTGATTTATAAAAGATACATTGCAAAAAAAACGCCATTTTTTGATAGCATGTATCAGAAAAGAAAATAATTTTAGTACAACAAATTAAGAAGGAATAAACACGAATGTCAAAGTTTGTTCATCATTCATCGCTCTATTAAAATATGTTATTGGTTTAAGTTTTATTCATTCTCCATTCACTTGTCTAACGTTCATATAGCTTGACAGACACTTATATATTTTTGTGTAGAGCGACACAAATATTACTATAGCTTCTGCTGTGGTAGAGCTAGCGGCTTTCAGACTATATGAAAAGAAAGAGGACTTTTCAAGTAACAAACTAGGGAGAAAAGGTTTCTTTTTATCAATGGTATTTCTCATCAAAAGTACCAGAACTTTTGGAAAAAAGATCGTTATACTCACTTTGTAGAGCGACATTTTGATAGTTGTGCATTTTATAACTCCCGAACAGTTTCTTCATTTTGGCTGAAATTTTTATAGAAGATACAAAACAAAAAGTTCTACAAGTTATCAAAATTTCACTCATTGATCATGTACTGTTCAAGAGAAATTTACATTATACTGGCAAATGTAGAGCGACAATTTTTAGAAAAGTATGTAGAATGACAATTTCACGGCTCTATAATTCCTCAACGACTCATGTGATTCAGCTAAATTTTTTACTCAATATATAAAGTGGCAAGATCTATAATGGATAAAAATTTCAGCCCTCAATCATCTTCTGTTCTGAAGAAATTTACATTATACTGAGAGATATAGAATGACAATTTTAAGAAAAGTATGTAGAATGACAATTTTTCGCGAATATTTTCAGTAAGGCGCATTCAAAAAATTTTTTTTTGACGTAGTTACGTGAGAAGCGATTATAGAGTATCATTTGGGAAAAAAACGATGACCGCAAAAGCGAAAATGTTCAAATTGTTGACGATTTTTACGGAAAAAATTATTCAGCATAAACATAAAAAAGCGCACTATTCTCTAGCTTCCATTTTTATTGAAAAATTCGTACCTAGCACGAATAAGGACATGATCCCAGATAGAATCGTCAACATGGTTCTCCAGAAAAGTGAAAAATGTTTTTTTCGAAATTGCCGTACTCCCCTGCAGGATTTCAGGTGGATAAAAAAAAATTTCATTTTTCGTGACAACCACATCGACCATTCCATCTATGATCATGTACTGATTTCTGCTATATATAAATTTTGAACTTTCAAAGTGTGGTTGTTTTGGCATGGAGTCACCCACAAGTAGAAAAAGTCATACATTTATAAAAGGGCAATATCTCCGTTAATAATCGATCAAGTGTTGGGAAATCTTTTTTGTGTACTACTGGCATAAATTATAATAAAATGCACTACTGAAAAATGGTATAGGTTCACTTTCATCTGTTCGCGTGAATCGTACCAAAAAGTTGCAATTCACTCATATATACAAATTATCATCATATGAGGAAATGAAAAAAAGATGTTCTTGATATCTCTAGAATAATTCCTCTTGCTGAATATTTAACTTCTAAGCCATATTCTTCGTCAGTTCCGTGGATGACTATATCCACGATATAGCGTGTGTGTAGTTAAAAATCTTTTTGTTTTTTGAGTGTAGACATATTTTATTTGTTCATTTCTATGTTTTATTTAAACAAATACGAGAATACAATATAATAGTAAAGTATGTCATACAAATATTTTTTGCTGCGACAAAAACAAATTAAGAGTTCAACATAAATTGTGCCATTGGATCATCGTGACGAAGTTTCTTCAATCGATATGCTTCTACCTCTTCTTCTGTTGGTTCTTTATGATCGACAGTATCTGATTTTAATGAATTATATTTTCGTTTTCGTTCGTCAATCTGTTCTATTTCTTCAGCTAATCGTTCGCGTTTTTCTATTTCTTTGGCTGCTTCTTGCACTTTTTTCTTATCTAATTTTTTCATTGTTGAATTTTTATCTTCAGTTGAAGCTTTTGGTTGAATTTTTTGTTTATTTAATTTTTCTCGATGTAATGCAACTAATGATTTTGGTCTATCTTCATTAGGATCATCAATTGGTGTATCTGCTTGAAATTGAATTTCTTTTTCTTCAACAATTGTACCTGTACAATAGGATTGTCGTAATAATGCATGACAACATGCATAACCCCATCGATGATTGCGCCAATAAGAACCCCATACTGATGTATGTTCATTTTCATGAATATCTTCAACATATTTTGATTTAACTGGTGCACGTTGATCACCTTTAATAATTTTTCCCAGACGATTATATTCAATATATTCTTCGGTTTGTGCTTCGACGACCAGTTCACGTGGAATACTATCTAAATATTCTGCACCACCATAACGTTCAATTAATTGTTGTTCAACCGTTTTAATAAATTGATTTTTTTTCTCATGAAATTCTTTATTTAATAATTCGAGCTTAGTTGGATCAGCTTGTGTATGAATGCTAACACCTTTGTCGGCTGCTTCCCAAGCAAATATTTGACTTTTAGCAAAATGTTTTGCATCACCAGAATAACGAACGAAATTATCACCTAAATAAGGTACTTGTGATGGATCTTTATTCGTTCCGGTAAATGGATTATCACGCATAGAACGTGATTTTGGATCATAATAAGCTGAGTCAGCATCCAAATTAAGTAAATATTTTGCTGTATCTTCTCGAATACGTAAATTACGTACACTAATACGTTGTTTGGAATCGACATGTTGGCCGGGCATGTCCATGGAGTCAGTATATTTGTATTCTTCATCGTCTTCATCATCGTCGGAATCGACGACTTTAGTTGGTTTTATTGCTTTAACTTTCTCATCAGCTTCCGATGGTTTAGCAGCAACCGTAACAAGCGGATCTGCAATTGCAGCTTCAGCAGCAGCTACTTCAGCAGCGGCTACTTCAGCAGCGGCTTCTTCATCAGCCACTGCTTCTTCGTCTAATTTTTTCGATTTTAAAGCTTTTTTTGCGTCAGCTAAACGTTGATGTTCATCTTGCATTTTTTGTTGATGCCAATTAATATCAACACCGTTCCAACGATCGCGTTTTCCATCCCAGGATAAATTTATATCGGTTTGAATATATTCATCAGGTGCAAAATCGGAACCAGTATAGCGAGCACCTAAACGACGTGGACGATCAACACAATCTTTACGTTTATGGGTCATTGCACCGCAGTTTTCACAGGCACCTGGACGATAACGTGTGGCAACTTTCTCAGCATGACCACGAGCATACCTAACGGAATAAAATATTTAAATTATTATGTTACTTGAAAAATATGAAACACAATTTAGCTCTATATATATACTCTTTGGGCTAATAATAAAGAAATATAAATAGGCAAGAATATTTTTCTAGTTAATGTGCAGTTTGTTTCACGAACTTCAAAATAACCAGGAAGTTCTACTTAGGAATGAAATTCGATATAACTAGTTGTGAATATGAGTAAGAAGAAAATTCATTTCATCGATTAGTAGTTTTCAAAACATCGACATGAAATTTAGTTTTGGCTTCCTTATTCTAAATATAAAACAGAACTTACCATTCATTAAGAGTATCAAATTGTTTTGATTTTTCTGGATGAATACGTTGATGTTTAAGTGTTGGTTTTTCATGATCATAGGTAACATACCATGGCACATCAGTCATATATTTTGGTATATGAGGATTAATATCTTTTCCTTCTTCATCGACTTCGGCAGGTGCGGAACCAGCCTTTCGTAGTTCTTCGAGTTCTTTCTGTTGTCGATATTCTTCTCTTGTTTGCTTTTTTGGTGCTTCGCCATCTTTTTTTCGTGCAAGAATTGACGGTGGAGTGGTAAAATGTTGCTGTGACATATCTGAAAACAGAAGTAAACTGTTGTTTTATTTTTATCTATTTATTTTTAAAATCTAAAGTTCTATCCAAGATATTTTTACTTTTAAAACAACAAATAAAAAACGAGATTCTTATATCACATCAGATAAATATGGCTGGATTTCGAGTATTACGAAACTTCAATGTCATATATATAGCAATGATTTGTGTTATTGTAAATACCAGTAGAATTGAGCCGATAATTTTCAGATGTTTATTCAGTTCACTATTTAATAATGTATAACACATGGGTAATGTTTCGCAGCATTGATCTGTTGAATGGCAACAAGGTAAATTCTGACATGTGACATTCCGATTAAAATTCGTTAGATTACTAAATCCACAACAATTATATTTTAATTGAATATGATCAATTGATTTTTCATAACTTTCTTTTAATAAATCATATTTGTTTTCACCACGAATCGTTAAATACGTACATGCAAGAATAAATTGAAATAGAAATAAAACAACTAAAAGTATTATGTAGAAAAACAGTAAGACTTGATGATGTTTGGCAGCGGCAACTATACCAAATACAGATAAAAATATTAAATATAAACTCAGAAATATCAAGCCAACAAGTAAATGAAGATCTATGATTAAAGAATTTACTCGTGTAAAAATGGCAAAAAATAGAAATGTAAATGCCAATATAATATAGAATATATTAAATATAATAAGTAGACGACGCCAAAATTGAAAATTTCTTTCCTCAACCATCTAGAATAAAACGCGAAGCATTAATTGAAATTTATTTCAAGACAAAAATGAATAATATCCTTCACACAAACTATCTGAACAAAACAAACAAATTATTATTATTTTTTCTTCTTCCTAACAGGTAATAACTTCATAGGAAATGGGTATTGATGCTACGGAAGACGATTCAAGAAATATCTAAAAAATTAGAATACATTAGAAAAAGTTCTAAATCATTATTTCGTTTACCTGATCGGATATTGATCGTACTTGAATTTGTAAACGGCGTAGACATTTTAATCTTTGTTGACATTGAAATATAACGAAATTAATACATTCATGCAGTTGATTGCCACTTTTCAATTTTATTGATGAATCAAAAGTTTGAATTAATTTAATATGTTGTAAGAACGGGGCTATTTTGAATAGCAATGTAAATAATTCTAATGGATGATCAGTTGATATACAAAGTGATCGTAATGAATATAAATGAAATTCACTGCTCAATTCAAATGTCGACAATTCCGATGCTGATTCAGAGAGATCCTTTAGAAGAAGAAATAAAAACATGTATATATATATATATATATATAAATTGTTCTACATTCAAATCCTATCCTATGAAGCTCCCAAGAAATAATCTATTAGTTGCTAATGAAAGCCATTTGAATAAATTTTCAATCCGGTTTAAGATTCCGAGCGACATCTAACAATTGCGAATACTATTTATTTAATAAATATTTAACATACCAATTCGAGTATATCAACATTTTGAAAATATTTCAAAGCTCGACCGATGCATCGACAATTTTTCGATAGCTTAACATGATTCCACTAGAAACAAAAAATTTCGCAATTCCAAATATTCAACAAGAAAATCTTACTGAAATTGAATTATCAACAAAATTTTTCCATTTATGCGAAACTTGTCGGCATCTAGAAAGAATGGATTTCTTTTTTTCTTCGTCTAAATATTAATCTTTACTACTTTAATCGTGTTGGTACATCAGTATAGTTGATTATCTTTTGAAAGAATTGATCATATTTATTTGTATTGAACAGATCCGTTTTGTCATTTTCGTTTAATTTCGTAATAAATAAATCAATGTCATCTTTGGACAGTCCAATACTTCTTAATAATTCTAAATCTTCATATACATAATATGGCAATATTTTACTTCTTTTTGCATTCTCAAGTTCACTATCGGCATCGGATAATGTTCGTTTACGTGTATATACAATTGATTTATCAGCAAATATAATTACATTGTAATAGGATGAATCAACATGATTCACTTTTTGGCCATCTTTAATTGATAAAGGTTTTGAACCAAATATTTTTCGAATAGTACTAGGTGATAATTCTAATAGTAGAATTGAATTCAAAAATGATTGTTTTTTAAATTTCGTATAAATTTACCTAAATCTAATTGATTATTATTTGAATATTTGACAAGATTTTGGTGGAATAATAAATAATGATCATAAAACTTTATTGTCACAAATTCCTCACTATCAATACAATGTTGGACAAGTTCATGCTGGTCATCGGCCATTACGAATATTCTACTTCGAAAATAAAATCATTTTAATTCATAATAATAGAATTATTTATTTTATTACCAGGTTTTATTCAAGAAATTTTCATTTGGTCATACTTGCGTAATAGGCATCAACGAACGATTGCCCAACTTTTGCTCGGCACTTCGAGTCATTTGCGTGTCAATATTGTTTTTTCGTTGGCTTAATTACTCAACGACTCAAATGAGAGAAATCGTGTTACAGACGCCATCTATAGGAAAAATCGAGATGTCACGAAGGTGCAGATTTTTTTCGATGAGCTGATACTTTCAAAATATTCATATTACCCACTAATAATAATCTTACTGACTTTTTGCTTGAACACTAATTTGAATGTTTAAGGTTACACCCTGAAGTTGAAATTAATTCAAGTCTGAATATTACTAATAGCTTGCGTTACACGCCAGTAGACGGTCAATTTTTTATATTCATTACTCCCATGAGTATGAATTCTATAGTAGCTAAGCGTGAAATTCTCTCTTTAGGCTTTCTACACTAAAATTTGATCTTGAGGAAGATTACGCCTACATGTGCTGACTCAGTACACACAGACGTATCCGGGATGAAGTGATTCATCTGTTTAATTCGTTTTACATTTAAAACAAAATTGATCAATAGGCTTTATGGTTCATTTTGATTCAAAGCAGAATAGAATAGTTATTATTTTGTTAGAGCGAATAGAATCACATTTCTCAATCATCAATCGTATGAACTCAACATTGACACAGAATCGATCAATTGTTGTTTTTTAATCTAGAGAAGTTTTATTTTATTTCAGACTCACTAATACACAATTAACGATATGACTGTACTTTCTAAAATAAAATCCTGACAGATTATGTACAAGATGATTAAAATAAGAAGTTCGTCGTCACCTCAAGATATATCTTGATAGGTTCACAACCAAAAATTCCTGTAATAAAGATGTAAAGGATAGAAAAATGCAATACTATTCACATAACTAATGTACCACTCACGTGGAATAACCGAGCTGACAGGTACAATAAAGAAAAAAGATGCATGAATTTTCCCATTATTGTTCTTTTATCTCGAATGAATATTGAAACTTGTGAAAAACGCTGTTTGTATTACTCGAAAATATAATTTCTATTTACTTTAGTTGAACAATTTCTTGTCATATTTCTAATCTATTCTTCTCATTTATTCCGTCATCTTTGGAGCGCTTGAAAAATCTTCATTTTATCTCTCATTTCCTTTTTCTTATCTTTTTTCTTTTCTGCTGGCATGACAGCCACAGAATAGTGCATTTGTATACAAATATACATGACGTGAAATGTCTCTTAATTTCTTCCAATGCTCATTCTTTATTGAACATAATATAGAGATAGTATCTTTTTTCTCTCCTATTTTTGTTGTTGCATTCAGATTCATAATCAGGAGATAACGTGTCTAACTGTGTGTGCTTCTTCTCGATTCATTGTTTGATGTAAGATATGTCGTTCCTATTTGACGCTTGCCAAAAAGGAGATGTTGAACAGGTTAAATTTCTAATCGAACGACAAGTAAGAATTTCTATTATTTTCTATTCGAAATTTTCAATCGAATAATTTAGTGCGATATCGATCAAGTAACGGAAGAAGGTCGAACAGCACTTCACTATTGCTGTGAACATGAAACTATTGATTGTGCGAAAATTTTATTAGAAAATGAATCGATTAAAAATTCAATTATTAATAGGCAAGATAATGAAGGCTTTTCAGCACTTCATTTAGGTATGATTATAATAATGAAGTTTTATTTATTTTAATTTTTTAAAATAAATTGCAGCTTGTTTGAATGGAAACGCAGTTATGGTCAAATATTTATGTGAACAACAGGGCGATGTGAAACTAGTTGATTATGAATCACATTCTATTTTTCATTGGGTTACAGGTAGATTAGATTATATTGCTGTTGTGAAGTTCCTCAAATGAAATATATAAATAAAAATTTAGTCTGTGGTCATATTGATCTTTTCGATATTCTTGTTCAATATCAAGCACCGATTCATACATGTGACATTTATGGAGCGTTTCCAATTCATTATGCATCACAATTATGTGGCAATAAGGAGCCAGTTAAAAGTATTAGGATATTTTTACAAAGATCAACTTGTTATTCTACTTTCGGTAGGATTGGCTATTTTGAACAAAATAATTGATAACAATGCAGATGTCGATTGTTTGGATGAACAAAAACGAACGCCATTTCTTTGGGCAGCAAGTGCAAGTAAGCAGCTGGGCCTATCTTGTTTAATTCAATTTTTCGATGCATGATTTTATCAAGTTTGTGTAGACTATCAAAACAAAAGTTAGAGATTATCATTTGAAGACAAAGAGAACAACGCTTTAAAATCTTCTGAAATAATTGAGCTACGTTTAATGATGTATATCTATATCTTCCAGACAGCATCTGTTTGGCGATGATCATGTCAGTTATTAAAGTTCCATGAAATATGCTAAAATCTGACATAGCGTGACGTAGCTAGTTACCATGGATAATTTATCAGTATCGAAGAGAAAACAGAGGACTGATAACGGAAATAGAAGTTACAACTTACAGCTAAGACAATTCCAGACTGACACTAATATTGATTCAAGCGTTACTTGTGCTTAGAAAATTATTTCCATCGGGCTTGTTTGTCAACTCGGGATAGTTTCACTTTTTGATGATGAAAAACTTAGCCGTGCCGAACTAGTTTTTATTTCAAAAACTGGAAATTCTCAATGTGTGACTGTAACTGAGCCAAACCTTTAAATTAGCCATTAATAGTGTTCGAGTCTACGAAGGAAATCTTCAAGTCACGCTATTATGATCTTTATAGACACTCTAACAAGCAATAAATAAAGTTCTTGTTACTTCTTTAGATCTTTTAAACTTGATACTCTCAACCATCAGAATGCTGCTCGTTTGCCAAATGCAAACTCGGAACATCGAGCAAAGAGATATCTTACCATGAATAATTTATTGTCATAGATTAGTAATCGCTAATGCATTCAAGTTAATAAGCCATAGACAGGAATTTTTCTGAGTTCCTTAGCGTCTGCATAATGAGTACGCGATTGACTTAAATTCGATTAATCAATGAGAGAGCTTCCCTGGTAAGTCGTATCTTACTTTTTAAATCTTCTCCCTCGTTACTGATGGATAATTTTCAAAACAAAAATTTATTTAGATGCGACTGATGCTTTACGAACTCTATACAAAGCTGGCGCCAATCCGTTACATGCTGATAAAGATTCTCTAACTGGTAAAATCCCAAAATTTCAAAGTTTATTTTAATATTGATTATTCTAATCTAGCACTTCATTGTGCAGCAACTTGTGGACATATATCATGCATTCGTATGCTAGTCGAATTATATGGATGTCCACTAGAAAGTTTGTATTTCGAAAAACAAAAAATCAACCAAGTATTTTCTCTATTAAAAAACGAAACATGTTTTATCTAGGCGAAGATGTGAATGGTTGTACAGCTTTATTTTATGCAATTACACTTGAACATTCGAATGCTTGTCGAATTTTACTAGATTTAAAAGCTAATCCGAATCATAAAGATAATCGTGGAAGAACGTAAGTGAAATAATTACGACAAAAACTATCTATTATTTCCATATCCAATTTTTATTAGGCCAAGTCACTGTGCTGCATTAAAAGGAAATATTGATTGTTTGAAATTTCTCATAGAATACAATGGTGATATTTGGGTAAAAAATAAACGTGGTGATTATCCAATACATGAAGCTATTAATGCCGTGTCACTTAGTAAACTGCGCAATCAGAACAATGATCAATTACAATTACAAAAAGGATGTTCTGGTATTTATTTGTTGATTTTCTTTGAAATATTATTCGTTGATTCGTTTAGATGTTGTTCGCTTTATACTTCAATTGTACCCGAAGAAAATTAACATACAAAATGATGAAAATAGAAGTCCTCTGCATTTAGCTGCTAGCTTAGGAGATATTAACATGTGCAACGTATTAATTGAATGTGGAGCAAGAGTTAATTCATTTATTCAAACATCAGCAGTAAGTTATATTGATAAGTCTAAACAAAGATAACCGTATGTATAAAGGTGAAATATTTAGTTCGCTCTGAGACAGAAGCAATTCTGTTGATATGATAGGTTTTTTCTGTCTGTATTGAATTTAGTGGGTATAATGTCGTGATGACAAGAAAATCTAATATGAATAAGACAGAACTGCTTTTTTTTTGACCACACAAGTTTCGTAAGATGTTAAGTCAAATAACAGGATATTTTCTCGTTCTATTGTCTTAGGAAAAATTCAATGGACTGAGAGAAAACAACAAGATTCACATAATAAATTTCCGATTTATGAATGAACTCATCAGACACATGTTATACTTGAGGAGTCTATTTTCAAACCGGAAATTTATTGTGGGAATATTTTGCTTTTCATAGATTATAAATAGGCATGAAATGCAGGAGAAAAAACAAGACTAATCTTTTCCATACAGATTTATGAAAGCAGCCTAACGAGAGAGATCTTCTTTATTATATTTTATTTTCTTCTAGTCCATCCGAATAGATACATAAATGCATAATATATATATTCCGACCCGTATGTTTTTTGAATTCTTCGGAAATAGTAGTAACAAGCTATTAACTATTCTGTATGCTTAACATTCTTTTGACTGAAAAAGCTTTATTTATTTTAGTTAATCAAAAGTGAATTTTTAATGTAAGCAAGAAAGTCACGTTTTTCTTTTATCGACAGACGGGTGAAGAGTTTTTCCATCCTTTTTAACTGCAAGTAATAATTAAGATAGATGCATGTTTCTGCATTCAAGATAATATTTAATGAGGTTCATTGTGCATATTTAGTTGCTGCCCTATTTAGAAAAACAGTCGAGTGTAAATTTTAGTTTTCTATCAACAAAATATTGTTTTAAATTTTCTTTGGAAAAAATTTATTTATTTAAATCGCTTAGAAATTCTCTGATTTTTTTTAAGGGTAATTTTCTAACAGCGTATGATCTCGCTCGTATTCGTCATCAAAATACTTGTGCTGAATATCTTCTGAGTAATTACGGTGGTCAACGCGGCAATTTACTAGCCAATATTTTCGCTCGACGCATTCAAAAATCGTTTCGACAGTATAAAATGAAAAAATCTTCAATTGAAAATGAACATCAGAAACAATTGGTTGTGACAAATCAAACAGATACGAATAGAAATTCTTCTGCATCCGAAGAATTATCTTCTCGTTCAAACATTAGAAAAATTTCAATCATAAAATCAACCAATCATTTATTAAATCAAGCAAATGTATGTTTACATAATAAAATGATTGAAGATCATTTTAAAGAGTTGAAAATAAATATACCGAAACTTGAAACATATGTGAGCAATAGTTCGAAAGCAGAAAAACATTCGGCTCGACAACGCCGCAGTTTATTTGCCGAATCAAAAGGAACAATGACATCCATCAATCGAAGTGATGATCAAGAGTATTTAAAAATCGCTTTTTATTTTTCTGATTGAGTTATCAATTCTTTTAGATCGACTCTACCGAAACGAATAATAATTCATGCTTCAAGTTCCATAGCAACATCAGTTAGACTCTATGAACGACATAAATTAATTGCTGAAGAATTATATAAATTTAAAAAAGCTCGAATTCATAATACTTCTGTAAAAATTTATAGTTGAATGTAGAACAAAAAAAATAATGACATTTTAAATATTTTTAGATCGTTATCAATCGACAATTATATAAAATTTTAATTGAAAATGCGTTCGATCCTCATAGTCGATGTGCCACTGAAATCGAAGAATATCTTGAAAAATTATTAAAAGCTTACGAAACTGAATTAGAAGCGATACGAAAGCGTACTAAAGTAAATAGAATAGAAAATTTTCTTATTTTATTCTTTCATATATTTTTCTCTACTTTTAAGAGCGTTCCTCCAATACGTGTACATAATTGTTCACAAAGGTATTTTTATTTATCTATTTTACTGTTTGACTCATGTTTTCTCTATTCATAGGACAGCGAAAACCAACAAATAACAAAAGTTATGACTGACGAATAATAATAATAATAATCAATATTTGTTTCTCTTTTGTTTATTTTTATTTGCAATCATGTGTTTATCATTTTTCTCTTGTGTTGCATATTGTGTGCTTATCGTTGTGCAATTGACAGTTAGTAGAAGGGCACGCTTGATCGGTTTCTGAATAGCTAAAGCGAAGAAAAAAAAAGTTGTATGTATTCATTCACGAAATCACATTCGAAAGGTTTGATTCTCGATATATCTGTACATGGTATGCGGAGTTTTTGTTTTTCATCGTCAGATCATAGAATAGAATTTCTATTTTAGAAACAATCCAGTTAAATTATCTATGGAAGACACAGGAATAGACAATAACATCGATGATAAAACAGTCGCTAGTAAAACTACTGAGCGACGTTCTACCAAAACGAAATCAGCTCCAAAAGCGCTAACAGACGAAACGGAGATACCAGTGAAAAGTACTGAAAAAAAACGAAAAGCACCCAAAACACCCACTAGTACCACAGATACTAATGAATACGAGGAAATCTATGAATCTAAAGCTCAAGAAACTCCCGAAATCAAGAACAAAACTGAAGAAACTTCTATTCAAGATCAAGAAGTTTCAATTAAATCAAAGAAAAAACGAGCACCAAAAATCGAAACAGCCAATGAAACTAATGAATTAGTATCAACTGACGAACCTATGAAAAAGAAAAAATCCAAAGCGCCAAAAGCTTCTACAATTGATGATAATGCTCCACAAGAGATTAACACTCCATCTCTAGACACACTAGAACCATCTACTGAAATTAAATCTAAAGAGAAAAAAACTAAAAAATCAAAATTACCATCGCAACCACCAGCACTATCCGATTCATTTGAGAATTTACAAGTTACCAATCTCGATGATATATATTCACCATATTCAGGTATATTCATCTTAACGACATCCCAACATTGACATGGGAGGAATTACATGTCTAGTAATTAATTCATTTTTCCAGTGAAAAGATGAATCATTAATCTGCAAATATGTCCTCATGAATATTTCATTTTTAGACACAAATGATGCTATCCCTATTCTTGATAATGAAAATCTACCACCACCTGAGAATACGGCCAGTGAATACACACAAGAAATCTTAAACTCCTACAATGCTCTCGCAGCCAACGTTGACTTTTCTCGATATGTTGGCGATGATCAATGGCACCTTATGCATTTACCAAAGTCAGCTCGTGTAGAATCAAAATCACTTATGCGCAAAATTTTACCCGGTGGTCATAATAAAGATGAAAAGCAAGCGAAAAAATCGGCGGCTCCAAAAGGTAGCATATTCAATCGTATTCGTGCCGGTGTAAGTACTCTTGTCGGTGATGAAAAGAATTTAATTTTTGGTGAACAGTCAAAATATGAAATGGTTGAATATGAGGAAGAAGACGATGAGGTTGATACTGATGATTTAAATCGTTATGCACAAAAACTACGTGAACTCGAAGATCACGATCGTGAAATAAATCCCGAATTTTTAGTTATTGGCAACGGAAAAGCAGTTTATGGCGTACATGAAGCCGATACGGATGGCAAAGTCAAATTAGCCTCACGTAAACCGATCTATGACCGTTTTGCTGATCAAACAGTAAATGAGCAAACGGAAAAAAGACGACTTTTATCTCGTTTAAAACTTCCGTTTGGTCGAAATAGAGATAAAGATGGAAAAGAAAGTAAATCAGCGAATGGCACACCAAATACGGATAAAAATCGAAAAGCCACCGACGATGATAGAACTGCAGTGACAATAGATGACAATCCATTGATGAATTCGAAAGCTACTCTATTATTAGGCGTATATGAGTCTTCGCTTCCATAAGAAAAAAAACAAAGACAAAAGCCAACCACATCGCTTCATTTATTTCTTCTTTTTTTTCTTTTTTTTATGTCGATGTATGCGTTATTTTATACAAATACATGCCTTGCCTTTTTCCGAGAGGAAAAAAGAACAGATGGAATTCCTGTTTCTATCGTTCTCATTTACTGGCTTTTATTTGACAAAAGCTTGAGGGTGAGTGGAACTACATCCTAATTTTGTTCTTCCTACATCACGACAAATGTAGACTCTCTTTATGTGTATGCTTCGTGATCAATAAGCCGAAGCTCTCTTTTTCATTACAATAATCCTCTATAGTCTTGCATGCGACTCTTTGTTTCTTCACAAGTTATAAAAATATGTAGCATTGTCTACTATTACTACTACACACAATCACACACACAAATATAAAGCATACGACATGGCATTTCTTTTATGTCACTTAAACGTTTGACAAATTATGGCTGTGAATTTACTCGGCCATTCAGATATTGATGCACGCGTAATTCTTAATGTTGGCGGTACACGTTTCGAAACATCGAAATCTACATTAAAAAAATTACCGGCAACACGTCTATCGAAATTAACTGAACAGTTATCATCGTATGATCCAATATTAAATGAATATTTTTTTGATCGTCATCCAGGTGTGTTTTCTCAAATATTAAATTATTACCGCACCGGAAAATTACATTATCCTATAAATGTTTGCGGACCTCTTTTTGAAGATGAACTATCATTTTGGGGTTTGCAACGCGAAGAAGTTGAACCATGTTGCTGGTTTGTATTATGGGAGAATAAAAATCTGTTTTATGAAAAATAGCCTTTCTTTCTTATAGGATGACTTATACAAAACATCGTTCAACAGCTGAAACACTATCAATTTTAGATAGTCTAGAATTAGATACAGTGCGTTCATCTCAACAGGAAGTTATAAAAAAATTCGGTTGGGACGATGATTTCGATTATATTCAAGGCAATTTACCACGATATAAAAAAGTGATGATGATCGTATGGCAAATATTCGAAGAACCGCGTTCATCGACGATTGCTAAAGTTATTACTGTGATTTCAATATTTTTTATACTTGTATCTATATTATCATTTGTTTTACAAACATTATCAATGTTTCGTATAACTGATATTGATTTTGTCACTGTTTATATTAATAAAACTGCCACCGATCGAACGCCAACATTAAGTCGACAACAAGTTCATCCATCTTTCGACGTTGTGGAATGGATATGTACGTTTATTTCCTTTTCTTGTTTGTTTATTTTGCTTTTCTGTTTAGGCAATACATGGTTTGTATTTGAAATTATGATAAGATTTATTGTTACGCCGAACAAGAAAGAATTTTGTAAATCAACTTTAAATATTATTGATTTTCTCGGTAGGCTTTTTTATTTTCGGAACGAATCATTTTACTCTTTAGCCTTGCCATTCTTCTCATCTATTGAGAGAACTATATTTCTCTATATGAGTATATATTTAACAACATCAAACAAGCATGTCTGTGTGTTGCATGCAACTATTTATCAAAAGAAAGAAAAATATTTTGAGTAAATTTTTATATTTGATATTCTTGGCTAATTTTTAAAATTATGTCTCTTTTGACTTGAAATAATTGACGGCTAGCTACTATTGAATATACAACATAAATGCAATTTTCTTTGAGTTTTACGCATGAGTTGTGATTTTATGTTTTCGTGGTTATGAATATATTTTAAGAAGCTAATTATATTACTTTAATTTGCTGTTATTTACTAATAAAGATTTTAGCTAAAGCTAATTTGCACATCTGTTTTTCCTATCAAAAATGAGGAATGCAACGATAGTCATGATTTACACGATTGTCGTACCAAACATTCTTTACCTCGAACAAAAGATTGATATGAGAGAAAGCTATTTTTCGGGTCATCAATCTTTTCTTTTAAAATGAACTCGGTTGAATATTATAAATGTAAAAGATAGGCGACTTGCGATAGGCTAATTATATGTTTTTACGTATGTCGACGAACAATAGCGACAACATTTTACATGTCGACTAGATTTATTGTTCTTAATTAGCGTATGATTGCGAAAGCAATTCACATGCCATAGAAGACTTTCTTAGTGTTTCCTCCGAAGAAGAAAAAATTAAAAATATACTTTTATTTTTATTCTAGCAACAACTTGGTTCTTTTTCACATGGGCATTGATAAAACTACATGTCAATGATAATGAAGCACTTGATTTATTGTCCACCATACGGATCATGCGGCTATTTAAATTATTTAATCATCATCCTGGCTTGAAAGTTATTGTTACATCAATGAAATATTCGTCGTCTGTTTTATGGTTATTGATATTTTTCGTTTTAATTGCGGTTGCCGTATTTGCTTCATTGATTTATTATGCTGAACGCATGACAACCCGACATCCCGACGAGAATATGTTTCGTTCGATACCAGATGCGTTATGGTTCAATATGATTACAATGTCAACTATTGGCTATGGAGATTTATATCCGAAAACTATGTTAGGAATGTTAATTGGTGCTGTTTCCACAGGTAATCAAAGAATCCTTTTATTTTCAGGCAGAAAAAAAATAAACATTTTTTGTGTTTAGTCGCTGGTGTATTGATTATTGATTTGCCAATGCCAATTATTGTCGAGTCGTTTGCAAATTTTTATACACATCTTCGAGCGCGATCGAAACTACCGAAGACTCGACGAAAAATTGGCCCAGCTGAATCAAAAATTAAAAAACGAACAGCAATGGCTACACTCGATAATGGACAAAATCTTAAATTACTTGGACAAACAGCGAGAGCATCGATATTTGGCAATAAAACTCTAACTAGTCATAATATTAAATCTTCAGTTGCTTAAATAATTAAGCCAACAAGATTCATGTTTTTGTTGTATAACTTATAAAAAAAAAGTCAATTTATGTGAACTACGATCAACTTGACTCAATCAACAAGTTCTGATGAAAATATGGAATTTTCGGTATTTTATAAATTCCCTAAGAACGACCCTAACAGCTACTTTTTCAAACTATACAATTAAAGAATGGCTAATCCAATCAAAATGAAATTGCTTTCAGCTGTAAGTTCCACGAAGCGATAATAACTCGATTTACATTAGTCTATATTGTGTTATATTTATCGATGTAAAAATGTGGTGACACTAAAACTAATAATGTTACATTTTTTAATCAAAATTCTTAGGTTTTGTTGACCTCACGTATATTTTCGAAGAAAACAGTGAGTGTAAGTTGAATTGTTAGGTTTTTGCGGCTCCCCTGTACCCCATCCCCTCCCCACTACAGACATAATACATAAAAAAACTAACACTTAGACGCACTAATTTGAAACGTTTTTGGTACAGATCGATTACCTATGTTCACCACTACTCACATCAGTAATAAAAATCTATTTTCACTAATTAGAAATCATTCTAATTAGGATTTAATCTCTAATTAATCATCAAATCTGTCGTTCTTATTATTATAGCCCATAGTTACGACAGTATCGTATATTTTTATTATTACAGACGTTAGCAACGAGTGCATGCTACCGCTACAGAAGCTAGCAACTAGTTTATGCTACTATTACGCTCGTTACTTCTACCACCTACAATAACAGATGAAGATTTTAATCTTTTTTTTCTCATATTAATACCTTATTCTAGAGGCTGAATCCACATTAGTGTATTTACAATTAGCAACTTTTCCACCCGCTGGGGAGCTTTTATCAAATTTCCGTTTATGAAAAAATGTATCAGTTTCTCACCTAGTAATACGAAAAAATATAAATTTTTCAACAATATTGATAGGTATATCCTAAATACTGTTTAAACTATTATCATTCACAATATTTCTCAATGAAACCACTAAACACTTCAGGATACTGACATATTCTAAACAAAAGGTTTTATTATCTTATTGTTGAACAAACTATGATCTTACTACACTGAAAAAAGAAAACTTCTATTTGATCAGTATCTAACTGGCCGAAATATGTGAGTTCCACATTTTAGCCCCAACGGGGCTGCGCTGAATAGCTTTCTACCATCTTATATTCATATTTCTCGGCGGAATTATATAGATTCCACAAAATTAAAAAATCGCAATTTCTATACAATGGCTTCTGCTTGTTGATAGAAAGGTTGCATGAAGCTGAATTAGATCAGCATGAGAATATAAATACTTTTATAATCGAAACAATTATGATATTCTGCATAGCTACGAGTATTCCATGCGAACATATGTTTATGGTTTGCCAATGAAATATCATCCATACTTTACAGATATAAATCAGCCACAAATAGCCATATTGCTTCACTAGAATGGAAAATCGCTCTTATTTGCATGATATTATCTGTTCCATGTGCCAACGACATTTGATTCCTATCAAAAGTTAGAAAATCATTTTAACACAGAAATTTTACTCTTCTTAACGAAATTCAGAGAAGCTAATTGAATTCTAAGCGTTTTATTTTTATGTTACAGTCTGTGCTTGAATTCTAAGTCGAAAGCATTTCGCCAGACAAATTTGAAGGCGTTGGTCTAGAAATTATGAAATTCTTTCTGTAATTGTATATAAACCATTCCAGATTATTATAGAATTTCTATGCATATTTCTTAGCGAAATAATCGTAATTATCATTCAGACAAATATATTTCATATATGCAAATAGAATACTTCGGCTTAATTTATGTTTGTTAGAATAGGGAAAATGCTCAGATTTTTTCTTCATTCAAGACAAGTGAAGCAAATATTCCGGATGAAGAAGAAGAAAAAAACGATATGGCATGAATACGAGTTTGTAAAGAAAATATATTTATTCTCAATCAATGAGCTATGAGACAATATGAAAGACGTTGCTCATTTTTCTTATTAACACTTGTACTCGTGTTGGTGAAGTTTGACTATTCAAGAATGAAACAAACAAAATCAAGTGTCAGTCTATCTGCGTAATTGTTCTTCCTTTCATATTTGATATGCTTTTCATGTTACACATTCCGCATGATGCATTGAAATCAACGAAAACTCAGTCACATTTGTGCCCATCAGTTTTAATAGATCCACTTATGTAAAAGAATGACGTTAAACTAAAGAACAAATTAACATTTGCATATGATTGAATAATAATAATGTAGTCAAGTTCCATTATATTTCCGCACCAAATTATAATAGAAATTAATGTCAATGTCAAAATCAGCATATTGGTTCTATTCTTCAAATACGAACAACAATAGAATAGCGTAATATATTCTTTTTCCTTCTTCCAATGAATCTAAATGATCATGAGAAAAACTCTCAAACCCCTGATTCTATTAAATTTTCACCCACTCGAGGTTATTGTCAGTCAATTTTATATTGATCCCTTGTGAATAAAACACTCGACAAAAACCGTGTGAGCTATCGATTTTGCTGGATATCCGATATAAAATAATACGTAAATATGATTTTTTATTTTTAAAGGTCATCTCGAGCGATTTGATATCGGATGCTATCCTCTATAGTCCTTATAATATTTCGGATCATAAATGGACAATGTATGAGATGCTCCGGATAATGAATGTCGTATGAAAGTCTATTTAAAAACAAAAAGATTCGGCCGATAGAAATCGTGATATAAGCTATGTGGCTAAGTCTGATTATTCTTGCTCGAATTGAACGTTCTGTTTCTCTTGTTCAGACAAACTATGATGCAGAGTAAAAGTTTGTTCACTGTGATAGAATGATGCCTTGCCGCTGTTTTTACCTCCACCATGAGTGCCTTTGTCCAACAACAACTCCTTTTGTTGATTCTACTTCTTTTACTCTATCTTTACTATTCATTAGCAAACAGGACATATCGTATAGAAGTAACGAATTTCGTCTCGAAAACCTACGTCATAATGAAAATGTGAATATGCGGGTAGAAAGGTGAATGAGCAATATGAGAATCAGATAGATAAATTCACGAAGAAATCAATTAAAAGAACAGCTAATCGAAGATATATTCACCAAATTCAGTTCATTTGAATATGAGAATATGTGTATCTGCCTATCAGCAGTCGAGAGTTAAAATATAAATATACAAAATTATATAGAGCTCCAAGCACTTTCACAATCTCGAATAGTAATTTTTTAATAATGCACCATTAGGGTGAGTAAATATTGTGCTTAACGAATTTCACATTCTTTTTTTCGGTGATTTATGGTAAAGCGGTGATATTCATTCGATTTTTTTCTAAACACAAACTTTCTAAATTTTGAATCGGTGACGTAGGTGTAATTGATGATACAGAACATTGAGAAGAAAATTGTTTATTAATGACATTTATTTTCAATGCGCTAAAACAACGGTCGAACAAGATCGAGAAAAGATCTTGAATTCAAGACCATGAACAAACAGTTCAACTACAATTCGATGGTGCATCAATCGAGGTAGATGAAATTGGCAGACAATTCGTTCATATTACACACTCATCACCTTTTGGAAATCATTGGAAAAACGATAACGAAGAGCCCTTCTTTATAGAATAATAATTCTTGGCAACAGGGTTGTTCTCTATTTTTATTTCTGACACATCAATTGTATATGAACGTGGAGATATAGTGAAGAGACAATAACGCATACGGAAATATGTTTCGGCTGCAATAACATTAAGGTTGCCGGAACATCATAATTGAAAAGAAAAAATGAAGATGTAGAATATTGTTCACATCCGGAAACACTTCTCATGAGCATTGCAGCATGTACTCTGATATTCGATTTAATATTTGAATTTTCCAGCAAACAACATCATTTTCAGAGCCATTCTTGAAACCAACAGTTCATGATAAATGATTTTCTCAGGTAGCTTTTTATCCGCATCTTCATTAGCGTCTCGTTATATTGTAGGTATTTCGATCATGATATTTTTTCACCGGAAAAATTCGAATACTGTACACAAATCTTATTGGAATCATTAGCTGAAAGTATGGGAAAAGTAAACACCGTTTTTGAATCTAACAGATTTGTTTTTCTATAACTGAGAATTGAAAAAAGGAGTGAAGTTATATGAAATCTCGAGAGAAGCAAATAAATCTCCAATGTACAAATTAAAAGTGAATGTGGCACGAATGACGTCTTTTGTCAAATAAGTTACACTTGGGATGCAATGAGTAGTCAAAGGAAAAGACTCCGTCTTTCAGCAAACTTGCATTGTACGATGCTGGTACCAGATAGATTCGAAAACTCGATATGTTCTGTGCAAGCATTAGTAGCTAAAGCTCTGTTTTCTACTTACCTTAGTGTGATTTTTCTAGTAGAATGAAATTCTTGATGAAAGAGACACGTTGAAGGCGTGCCATTTGTTTTTCTTTTCCGATTGGTTGAAATTCATGTGCTTGAACTCTCGTTTGTATGTTTTTAAAATTTTTCTCTGTAACAGTATTCAGAAAAGATAGCTGCGCATTTTATAGACTTGCTCTAAAAGACTAAATGTGAAGTTGTTCTTCCGGGAAATTTCTTTTATGAACTACTGATCTATATAATCGTGCTATTCTATGTAAAACTTGATGAGAGACGTTTAATGGTGGATTGTATCACACGAAACCATTTTGTAACTATTTAAACCGAGAGTGCACAAGTACCAAATGATTTTATTAAGAACATCGTTTTTCCCGATTCGCCAAGCGTCATGGAATTAAATTGATATTTAAAGCAAACATTGCATAGACCTCAATTTTAAGCTACAGATTTTTGCATAAACTACGAGTTCATATATATATGAGATCACTAGCATGAATTAATTATCTGTTAAAGGATTCTTTTTCTTGATATTTCAACCTTGAAACTTACTTACTATGTCACCATCTAGAGAAAATGCACATTGTATTTAGGTCGCTTTTATGCATGTGTCATAGAAATCTAGTTGATATTCCCTTGTTATCCGTTAAATGTTGATGATGAACATCTTACTGCTCAGATTTATTTTCTATTCACTGAGACAGACGTAGAACAAATAGGTAAGATAGTAATCTCTAAGTAGGATTGGAGATAAAATGGCAATCTCATCAGAAACATAGATGACAATGTAATAACTGAGAGTATTATTTTAACAAACTTACTTACCTTTAAAGACGATTTTGAATTAAATAGGCATTTAATTTAAGGAATGTCATATGAGATATATGCATGACTTTTCATCTAATACCTAGAATGTTCATTAAAAGTTTGCAGTAATCTTTAAATAACAGATTTCAAGAAAACTCTATTGCTTGCAGACACATCAACAATAAATAGGCAGCTAATATTTGTTTTCTTGAAAGCAATTGTATCAGAATAAAAATTTATTGTCGTACATCTCTCCGGTATTATAATGCAGGCATATGCCATACCTGTGCCAATATTGATGGCAAGCCTCGTTGATCTTCTTTTCTTGTGTAATCGTTAGGCATCTGTCTATCTCTGTTTCTTGTCTTTTTCTATATAAACATGTGTTATATGTGAAATAGTTATATACACTGGAGATTTGAAGTAACTAAATAAACATAATTATTGAGCGTGACCACTAGCTACTCTTTCAGTTTTTCGTTGCGTAGTGATTCCGGCAGCTCGTGGCCATTACAGCTCAAATATAGCTGTTGAATTATAACTTTAATAATGCTAAGCAGCGGTATTAAACAAGTGAGACAACAATCGAATGGCGATGATAATGAACGAAATTATCTATCGACTGTTAGCAGTTTCAATTCGTCGATTTTCAATATTTCATTTGTGAGCACGATTCAGTTGATATCTGATATGTGTACACTGAAACAGCTGGGAAAAGTATTTTTCGCTCAATTACCCACAAGTTATATTAGTTTTTCTTGTGTTAAATTAGAGATGCTACGTTAGACAAACTCAAAAATGAAATGTAGAACTTTTTATGAAGACTTAACGTATGACTAAATTTTTCGCACACGAGTTACTGCCTATAACTCTTTAGTTGGTGCTAAGGGACTACCTTTTATCTCTTCTACTGCTATACAGCTGGTACAAGAATTCATTCTAGGCATTGTAACGAGATTACAACGAGTGAAAATGAAGTTTTTCTGTGCTCCTCGCTCGTTACGAATCGTTATTATATTTATGTTTACGCTGTTATAATGAATCGATGAATGTGAAATGTAAAGATACCTAGTTCAGTTACCGTTGACTGTGTTGTTTGTTTCTTCATTAAGTGGATTGCTGAATATGTCTATCACAGTCCGATGTCCTATATTTTATAGAGAGAGTTCAAGCGGTAAACTTCTTTAATGTGCTGTTTTTCTCTTTTCTTTATTATTTTTCCTTGTTTCATTTCCGGTCTCTATACCCTGTAGATAATTAGGGGAGCGTCTGATCTAGAGTGTAGGTGTGCCAATGCTATTGTCAAATCTAATTGATCTTCCTTTTCTCGCTCTACTTTTTTCAGCTCTCTCTCTCTCTCTTTCTGTTCGTCGTTGCAATACTCCTCTTTTCCAATAGATTGTTTGAGTGAAAATTTGTCCTTTGCTAACAGTCATCATATTTATTTCAGATAGTAGAATTGCTTATAATCATCTGTAACACTGAACAATAGACGCTGGAAGATTTTCCCTCTGTGTCATCTCGCTTGCAATCCATTTTTAATCCCTTTCATTTTCATTTCGTTCAGCAGTTAGCATAACGTTTTGACTTAGAGTTCGAGAAAAAGAACTTCACTGGCATATTCAGATTAGTCGATAACGCAACCATTTTAACTGATAGCTTTAACACAAAATCATTCTCAATTGATCTAATTGACTTGCTTTCTTCTTTGATAGTATTTTTTGACATTTGTCCGGATTTTGGATTCCCGTTTTTTTTTTGTAAGTCTGTGCTGTAACTATTCTTGGCTTTAAAATAAAGTAAATGTCAAAATCACTTAAATTAACGATCGTAGAACAGTGATGGTGACTTGCAGCATCTGAAAATTAGACGGTAGCCAAGTAAGTGAGAGTAAATTTCAGACAGCAACTACTATGTTTAAGGCGAATTATGAGCCTTTATATGTCCTCGATGTAATTCTCATCATACGAAGTGACACCGTCTTCAGTAGTATTACGTAGAATGACCTGGCATCTCAATGAGAGTATCAGTTTGCTCAATGCTAATGAACATGATTTTGAATTTTTCAGATTGGAAGCATCTTGAGTTCATCGTCTTTACAAATATCGTCAATCGGTTTAACTATGTAATAACTCTTCTATCAAATGACTTCTATATTTGATCCTTATACAATAAACATTTCCAACAGAAATATGTGACTACTAAGCTTGATAAGATGAACCGTAGTCTATAGGAAGTTCTACTAACATTTATAGCAATTTTTAGACTACTAATTAAAAAAGAATCTTTTATTACTTGAACAAGATTTTGGCCATCGTTCTGCACATCTTGCTCGGGAGTTATACAAATAATGCAATTATAAAATTAGTAAAAAAGGGTGGATGAAACAGAAACATGTCTATTCATAAATTGGAGAGCTATGCTGTTATTATAGGACTTGCACAATGGATGGTCATTGAAAAAAAAGATCGGCATATAGACACGAACAATATATGGCGACTATCAAATATTCTTGGATTTGTTTCCCTAGCTAATTTCTCCAATAGGTATACTACGCATCCAAAGTTGATGTAGGTATTCATAGAGACGATTGCTAACTGCAACCTTGTATGGTGTTGGATTAAGATTTCGTCGGTGATCTTTACGCAAGGTTTCGATTTGCCCGAGAGCATACGTACGAACGTCTTCCCATGTCGGTAGCGTCTCTTGAATACGCCCGTTTGCCCAATACAATGTATACATACATCGGACGGACGTCGGTGTGACATTCGCACGTTTCGTTTCTCCAAATGGATGTCGGCAAAGTATTCGTTCGCCAGCTTTTGGTGCTGGTTCATCAATGTGAGTCATAAAATCGCATAAAGCTTCACCATTACCATTGAAGAACCGATAGAGATTTTTTCGACCAGGTATTGTTACTTTTTCGATGTCTTGACTAAGTTTGATGCGTGGTTCACTATCAAGCTATGTTGAGAATAAAAAATAGTTTTCAGTTCTATTTAAAAAAAAACACCTACTTCAACCAATTTATAGACACAACCAAGTGCTGGTTGTTTTTGACATGTAACCAAATGTGTTCCAATACCAAACGTGTCAATTGAATGTCCCTGATTTTCCAGTGAATTCAATGTATCCTCATTAATATCGTTGCTTGCTACGATATTCAAATGTTCGATGTAAGGTAAATTGAAGTTCTGAGCGATTTTAATGAAAATTAGCCGTACTTTTGATGATAAATAGGCTAAATCACCAGAGTCTAAACGAAGACCGATCGCTTTATAGTTGCATTCATGTAATGCAAGTGCGACAGCTAAAAAATTCGGTAAACCAGACTTGAGCACATCGTATGTGTCGACCAATGCCAAGAAGTCAGAAGGAAACGCGATAGCATAGGAAATAAACGCGGCCAATTCACCTTTGTGAGTTTGAAGGGCAGAGCTGCCAAGCGTTGAACATACTTTATCGAGATAGGTCACACACAATTGAGAAAATGGATGTATTTCACTACTGATTCGATCAGGCAGATCGCGAAATTTGAGCTCATCAAGGCTTCGATATGAACTAACATAAGCATGCGCATGGGTTCCTAATATTACAATTGATGAACGAATAAATTTTTAATCATAAATACTCACCTCGGATCGGAATTCCATATAATTTACCAGCTAATACATTCGACGTGCCATTAAATCCACCTATATAGGAGTATTTTGAGGCACTAAGACCTCCGTCTGGACCTTGTGCGCGTCGTAGGCCGAACTCATGAAATATTTTATTCTGTCCTGTCGCTGCACGAAATCGAACGGCATTGGTTGCTACTAAGCTAGCATAGTTGACGAGTGTTAGAAGAGTCGTTTCAATTAATTGTGCTTTTAAAATAGGCCCTTCGACTCGAAGCAATGGCGTATGAGGAAACACCACAGAGCCTGGATGAAGAATTTAGAAAATAGATGAAAATCGAAAAAATATTTTGTTACCTTCAGGTATTGCATAAATTTTAACATCATTCATATCGATTGTCAACATAAAATCAAAAAATTCCTTCTCCATATAGGCGGGCATTGTTTTTCGAAGATAATCGACGTCGGACGTGTGAAATTTGTAATTTTCTATGAATTTCAAACAATCTTCAAGACCGGCAAATAATGTATATTCACCACCAAATGCTACAAAAAGAAATATTCATAGGTAACACGAACTCTTTTGTTTCTACACGAAAAAAAATAATCAGTTTACTTACGATTCTTGCGAAAGAAAAGATCAAATGTAGCTTCCTCCTGATTTTTACCACTTTTCCAATAAGCATATGCCATCGAGATTTGGTAGAGATCAGTGAGCAATGGTTGAACAGCATTCAAGTGCGATTCCATCTCCATATATTTATATTGTTGTTAGTTGAAGTGGAATAAAAATGAATCACACGTCTCTGAAATAAAAGTTTTATTGCGAAACTAGTTAAAAGAAGAGAGATTTATTCAGTGCTGAACAGAAAGAATTACTGGTATCGAAAAATATTTGATACATTGAAGTATGACAAATTATATTATACCTTGCAACATCTTACTTATTATCCATAATTTTTTACTGGCGAGACTATTCGAATTAAAACTATCGACACCGAACAATTTAACAATCTTATCTTCCTTCTTTTATTCACATCTTTTGTAATTAATAATAACTACTATTGGCGAATTCATACTCATTATTTCTCACAGGCCTGCCGATCGTCTTCAGTCTATAATCCTTTTTTCGATCGCGACCTTCTGCTTATAATTATTTCGTATATTCTCATGTAACTATTCTACTATGGATTGATGAACAGTTTTCGGCTCTGGCACAAGCAGCATGTCCCTATCAAAATTCTTTTAATTTTCAAAATCAATCGGACCGTTTTACAGGCACGAATTTAAAAAACATAATATTGCATAAATCTAACCCAATGAATTGTTAGAAACTCTTTGCATTAAAAGTAATGAATTGAAATTTATATGTTCATATTTTTTCTTGATTCCTTTTTTAAGATCATTTTTATTACACTCTCGAAAAGGTAACAAGAATATTTTTATACTTACATTCTCTATCTAGTCTTTATTGATGAAGTTGCTTTGAGCTGGATAGCTGGTCGATCGTCGAAAGATAAATCATTCAACCGATAACGTTTGACTTTTTTCTTAGTACAACAATATTTACCTTCACAAAACTAGTATTCTTGTTTTTACCACGTGGGTAAACAAAAACACTGCTTCTTACATGTCTATATTCTGCTCGTTCTCAATATTTGTGTATACTATCATTTATTTTCGACTTTTTTCTTCAATTATGTTTCTTCCGAACAAGTCAATATCGATTGTAAATAAAGGAAATCTATACCAATTTGATAGATTGCAGCTTATTTTTCATAATAAAATTAGCTGTATCCAAGAAGAAAATCTTTTGACTGTTTTGAATATTATTCACAGATATTGACGAATCGTCATATGGCTTCTTTTTTAATGTACGTTGATGATGAAGATTGTGACACTATTGAAAAGTATCTGTTCGATGGTGAAAAAAAAAGAAAATATTTCTCAATGCATAAAAAGACTGGCATGATTTTCATGTGAATGCCATGGAGTGCGTGTACTCAATAAGAAGGGTTTTTTTTTTGAAAGGTCGTCTTTGAATCATGATAACTCTGTGAAATAGTGAGTAAATGAGCTCAGATTTTGCAGCAAAATAGAAAAAATTCTTTTCTATGTATTGGTGAAAGAAGTTTTCAAAAAAAAGTTGAGAAATGATCGAGCTATGAGCGATAGTTTTCAGTAATCTGATACCATTCTAAATAAAAGCACTTTCCTCAATAAGAATGTAAAATGCAAAAANGAGCGATAGTTTTCAGTAATCTGATACCATTCTAAATAAAAGCACTTTCCTCAATAAGAATGCTAATGCAAAATTGTCCCCAAGTAGAACGCACCAACAAAAATTCATTTTAATAACGGGTATCGTTCGAAAATCGTGTCATATCTGCTTAGAAACTTTAAAATCGAACTCAGCCTCCGCTAGACAACTTATTCATTACACATTTCTCTATCATTCTCTAGAGGTTGAGTTTGATACGTTTGCTCAACTAATTAGACAGAATCAAAACAACCTCTATTAATTGCATAAAAGAAACGTCCTAAATAAGTACATGTCTCTAATTAGAACGCACATGCAAATATTGGCCCTTTTTAGAACGCGTCTCTATAAAATGCATGCAACGTATCTTATCTAACGCAATTTCATCTCTCTCTGCTAGCGAACTTCAAAATTGAGCCTTGATCTTACAACGAAAGTTGTTCAGTTCAACTTTCTCCACAACACACTATCGGTTTAGTTCAATACGATATAACCCAGGTCGAACAGTCCAGCCTGGAAACGGCCAGTTCCGCGTAGCTCCGTTGATTTTGTGGAAGCAGTTTTTCGATGATCTCCGATCAATTCCTGCCGGAAAGCACCTGAAGTTGGCAGGAATCCGCCGGAAAAGTTCGGCCGTATTTTTGACCGGAATACTGCGTCCATGTTCCAGCGATTTCCCGTGTTTTCCTGCAGGATACGGTGGCTTTCTTGCATATTTACTGGAGTATCCTACGGGATCCTGTGGCCGGATTGTTCGACTTGAGATTGAACACTTCAATTGGAGCTTTGTTTTTGTAACCGATCAAGCTGGTCAATAGATTTCAAGCAATTGTCACTAACGATAAACTAGTCTAACAGATCGGATCACATTGATAAACTAAGACTGGTGTATACAAATAGTGTTCCGGAAGAAGTGTGTCAGTCTATATATTAGTCTAAATTAATGCTAGACTATTCATGATGTTTCGGTCAGATATGATCCCGACACTGAGGCGAGCCTCGTAAGATCTAACACATTAAGAAGATTTCAGAATGAAACTTGAGGCGAATTGGAGTTGGTCTGTCATATTGAATGATCCCTCGGTCAAAAACTGGAAGAGCTTGGATGTCTGACGAAAAAATAATCCTAAATTTTTCAACCTCATATCGCCTACTCTTCAAGTACATTTCCGAAACATGTCATTCTTTCGTGAATTCAACGGTTTGCAAATTTCAGATGCTGCTGTAACTTACAACAGGTCAACACTGAATGAGAAAATACAAAATTTAAAGAAGATTCTTCGATTTAAACTTTGATTTTAATATTGATATTGTACTTAAAGTGTCGTGTATTGTTTGCCCGATTTTTCAGCATCTAATTATGAAGTATAATTGGAAATATTACACAATTTCTACATTTTTAAATGGAAGCAGCTTGTAAACAAATGATAGAAATTGTATCTACCCTTTAATTTTATGCGTGCAGACTCTCGTCTATTGAACTTCAGGTCGTAATTCTACCATGTATCCTTGAATTTTTGAATACGTGGAAGAAAGTAGAGTTGAGCGTTTTAACTACACCGTTGCTCAATCGCAAAATTTTCTAAATAACAACATTTTTCAGTGCAAATATTCTTAGCAAGTGAATTAAATCGACTACACAGTTCCGGGTTGAAGATTGCTCATTTAAGTACCATTTCTTAACTCTCATCCCAATTATTGTATCTATTTCTGCCATTGGTGACTATAGAATATAAAATAACTGAACTCCTAGAATGCCTTTTTGTTCTACTATTATCTCAGTGCTTCCATCATGTACTTCTGCAACGAATACTCTGCAATAGACTTACATCAAAAGTAGAAAAATAAAGAAAAGTACTTAGTAATCTAAAAGAATTACTTGGTGTTAAAAAACGTCGACTTATATAGCTATTTCACTCATGAATCGATCAAATTTCATAAACAAGAGAAGCTTTATACTTTCCATCGAATGAAGTATGAAAGTGAAAATTTGTTAACACTACCTAATTATACTGCAAAATAGAACCCATTGTGAATGC